GTGGCTCTGATGCTCATTAATTATTCAGAATTTTAAGCATTTCATTCCACTTAAACAGAAGAGTTACAAAAAAATTCACCTCCTCAGAGTTTTCATGAATGTAAACTAGATCTATTAAACCTAAAATGGGTTTTGGGGTGTAATGCTGAAGTGAATGAGGTTAAATTGATACACTTGAGTTGTAAGGGGAGAAAAAAGCATCTGCAATTGTCACCCCCATGATTAGAATGAAGCATTGGATCATGCAAGCCTTCATCTTCTTTGACCCATCCATATTCACAACTCCTGAGTCCATGTTTGCTGCTGTATAATATATTTTGCTGGAACAATCACTCTGTAACACAACTACATTAAAGATTTTAAAAGACAGAAACTGACAGATTTGGACATAAATTTATTGCTACATATGTTGCCCTTTGTATTTCCTGCTGCTGATGTTGAAGTCTGGCCAGCAGATGTCACTCATTTTATTGGCTTCAAATGGTTCACAACACTGAACCATTTCAAACCATATGCTTCAGATTGGTTCAATGGGTTGGAAAGCTTCGGTTTCTCCATCACTGCCTATTATGCCCTGACTGATTTAAAATGTGTGAAGGGGAGAGGTAACAAGAAACGTGGCAGTGGAATTAAAAAATGGTCCTGGAGGGCAGCAGAACCCCTGCATTGCTGCCTCCCAGACTGCTGGATGGCACAGCCCTTTTATCCCAGGTGTTGTTCATTAGTGGGACACAGCTCAGCTGTGCTCATCAGCAGCTTGGAGAGGTGGATGGCCAGTGTCCTGGCCCATAAATGGGGCTGGATGGTCCTGGCTCCTGCAGCTTAAGAGGCCAGGCACATGGCCGTAACACTGCCACACATTTTAAAAGAAAGTTTCCTTACATTGAACTAAATAATTATACCGACGTTTCTTTTTTTTTCTAAGACAACTAGAGGAGGTAGACACAAAGTTGTCACTAAGCAGGGGTCTTGGTAGAGATTAACCTGTTGCTGGTTGCTTTATTTCCATTGTTTTCCAGGCTCAGGCTTTGATGTGGCACCCATTTTAACTGCCAAATATAAAATGTGTTTATTTGTTTATTTAAGGATCCCATTAGTCTTCACAATAGTGAAAACTATTCTTCCTGGGGTCCACTTGATAAAAGAAACAAAAACAAGAAGAAAACACATACAATATCACAGTGTAGGATTAAAAGTACAATATTTCATATACAATGTAAGAAAAACACAAGAAATAAAATAATAAAAAAAGCACTAAAAAGTCAATTTAAAAATGGATCAATGAATCAGTAAAACAATAACAATAACAAAGTTTTAATGTTGTTGTCGTTGTCGACTTCCTCCGCTTATCCGGGTCCGGGTCGTGAGGGCAGCATCCCAACTAGGGAGCTCCAGACTGTCCTCTCCCCGGCCTTCTCCACCAGCTCCTCCGGCAGGACCCCAAGGCGTTCCCTGACCAGATTGGAGATGTAACCTGTCTAACGTGTCCTGGGCCGACCCGGGGGCCTCCTGCCAGCAGGACATGCCCGAAACACCTCCCCGGGGAGACGTCCAGGTGGCATCCTGACCAGATGCCCAAACCACCTCAACTGGCTCCTTTCGATCCAGAGGAGCAGCGGTTCTATTCCGAGTCCCTCCCGAATGTCCGAGCTCCTCACCCTATCTCTAAGGCTGAGCCCGGCCACCCTACGGAGGGAACTCATTTCGGCCGCTTGTATCCGCGATCTCGTTCTTTCGGTCATTATCCAAAGCTCATGACCATAGGTGAGGATTGGGACGTATAGTGGGGCAAAAAAGTATTTAGTCAGCCACCGACTGTGCAAGTTCTCCCACTTAAAATGATGACAGAGGTCAGTAATTTACATCATAGGTACACTTCAACTGTGAGAGACAGAATGTGAAAAAAAAAATCCATGAATTCACATGGCAGGATTTTTAAAGAATTTATTTGTAAATCAGGGTGGAAAATAAGTATTTGGTCAATAACAAAAATTCAACTCAATACTTTGTAACATAACCTTTGTTGGCAATAACAGAGGTCCAACAATTACTATAAGTCTTTACCAGGTTTGCACACACAGTAGCTGGTATTTTGGCCCATTCCTCCATGCAGATCTTCTCGAGAGGAGTGATGTTTTGGGGCTGTCGCCGAGCAACACGGACTTTCAACTCCCTCCACAGATTTTCTATGGGGTTGAGGTCTGGAGATTGGCTAGGCCACTCCAGGACTTTCAAATGCTTCTTACGGAGCCACTCCTTTGTTGCCCGGGCGGTGTGTTTGGGATCATTGTCATGTTGGAAAACCCAGCCACGTTTCATCTTCAAAGCTCTCACTGATGGAAGGAGGTTTTGTCTCAGAATCTCACGATACATGGCCCCATTCATTCTGTCCTTAACACGGATCAGTCGTCCTGTCCCCTTAGCAGAAAAACAGCCCCAAAGCATGATGTTCCCACCCCCATGCTTCACAGTAGGTATGGTGTTCTTGGGATGCAACTCGGTATTCTTCTTCCTCCAAACACGACGAGTTGAGTTTATACCAAAAAGTTCTACTTTGGTTTCATCTGACCACATGACATTCTCCCAATCCTCTGCTGTATCATCCTTGTGCTCTCTGGCAAACTTCAGATGGGCCTGGACATGTACTGGCTTCAGCAGCGGACCACGTCTGGCACTGCAGGATTTGATTCCCTGCCGTTGTAGTGTGTTACTGATGGTGACCTTTGTTACTGTGGTCCCAGCTCTCTGCAGGTCATTCACCAGGTCCCCCCGTGTGGTTCTGGGATTCTTGCTCACCGTTCTCATGATCATTTTGACCCCACGGGATGAGATCTTGCGTGGAGCCCCAGATCGAGGGAGATTATCAGTGGTCTTGTATGTCTTCCATTTTCTGATAATTGCTCCCATAGTTGATTTTTTTCACACCAAGCTGCTTGCCTATTGTAGATTCCCTCTTCCCAGTCTGGTGCAGGTCTACAATTCTTTTCCTGGTGTCCTTCGAAAGCTCTTTGGTCTTGGCCATAGTGAAGTTTGGAGTCTGACTGTTTGAGGCTGTGGACAGGTGTCTTTTATACAGATAATGAGTTCAAACAGGTGTCATTAATACAGGTAACGAGTGGAGGACAGAAAAGCTTCTTAAAGAAGACGTTACAGGTCTGTGAGAGCCAGAGATTTTCCTTGTTTGAAGTGACCAAATACTTATTTTCCACCCTGATTTACAAATAAATTCTTTAAAAATCCTGCCATGTGAATTCATGGATTTTTTTTTCACATTCTGTCTCTCACAGTTGAAGTGTACCTATGATGTAAATTACCGATCTCTGTCATCATTTTAAGTGGGAGAACTTGCACAATCGGTGGCTGACTAAATACTTTTTTGCCCCACTGTAGATCGACCGGTAAATCGAGAGCCTGGCTTTCTGGCTCAGCTCCCTCTTCACCACGACAGATCGGCTCAGCGTCTGCATCACTGCAGATGCTTAACCAATCCGCCTGCCGATCTCCCGATCCCTCCTACCCTCACTCGTTTACAAGACCCCAAGATACTTAAACTCCTCCACTTGAGGTAGGACCTCTCCCCCGACCCGGAGTTGGCAAGCCACCCTTTTCCGGTCGAGAACCATGGTCTCAGATTTGGAGGTGCTGATCCTCATCCCAGCCACTTCAAACTTGACTGCAAACCTACCCAGCAAGAGCTGAAGGTCAGAGCTGGATGGAGCTAGGAGGACCACATCATCCGCAAAAAGCAGAGACGAGATTCTCCTGCCACCAAACTCGACTTACTCCACACCACGGCTGCACCTAGAAATTCTGTCCATAAAGGTAATGAACAGAACCAGTGACAAAGGGCAGCCCTGGCGGACTCCAACCCTCACCGGGAACAGGTCCGACTTACTACCGGCTATGCGGACCAAACTCACGCTCCTCTGGTAAAGGGACTGAATGGCCCTTAACAGAAAGCCACCAACCCCATACTCCTGGAGCGTCCCTCACAGGGTGCCCCTGGGGACACGGTCATAAGCCTTCTCCAAATCCACAAAACACATGTGGATTGGTTGGGCAAACTCCCATGCCCCCTCCATCACCCTTGCAAGGGTATAGAGCTGGTCCACAGTTCCACGGCCAGGACGAAAACCACATTGCTCCTCCTCAATCTGAGATTCAACTATCGATCGGACCCTCCTCTCCAGTACCTTGGATTAGACCTTTCCAGGGAGGCTGAGGAGTGTGATCCCCCTATAATTGTAACACACCCTCAGGTCACCATTCTTAAAGATGGGGACCACCACCCCGGTCTGCCACTCCACATGAAATGCCCCCGTTGACCACGCAATGTTGCAGAGACGTGTCAACCATGACAGCCCTACAACTTCCATAGCCTTGAGATACCCAGGACGAACCTCATCCGCCCCCGGGGCTCCGCCGCTGTGTAGTTGTTTGACTACCTTAGCAACTTCTGCCTCCGAGATTGGACAGTCCATCCCTAGGTCTCCCGGCTCTGGCTCCTCCTCGGAATGCGCGTAGATGGGATTGAGGAGCTCCTCAAAGTATTCCTTCCACCGTTCGACTATAGCCCCAGTTGACGTCAGCAGCTCCCCATCCCCACTGCAAACAGTGTGAACGAGTTGCTGCCTTCCTCTCCTGACAGGCTCCAACAGTCTAAAGCACTGCTTACTACTAGTTGAACTGTTCTCTGCTTTTTCCTGGATGCTACCCATAATGGAATAAAATCGCATTTGTAGAATTTATGAATAAATATTAATGGTATTTACCTCTGAGATGTTCTGAACAGGCAGTTAGAGTGGGTTTAGCAAACAAAAATCAGCTTATCTGCTGTGATGTCCAGGATGGTAACTGTGTGAGTCTTATTGGGACATTTGTTATGAAAATATTATCATAGATTGTTATATTCATTTTTGATGAATCTGCTCAAATGGTCTTTTAAACTGTACACTGACTGGTAACCCTACACATTTTTGTCTTTTCAATGTCTCTCCCAGAGCTGCCTTTTCTGCTACCCATTGTGGATGTTGCGGAGGCCTTACTTCATGTCCGTAATGGTGACTGGTTTATGTGCCTGTTGGTTGCCAACGTGCCCGACAGCTTTAATGAAGGTATTTTACTTTTTTGTAGAAAGCTGTAGACTGTCAGCTAACTATAAACTATTGTCTCTATACTGGTGGTTCCTAATCTTTTTAAAATTGTGGATGGGTCACTGTCCTGTTGCAAGACCCATGACCTACCACTAACAGCAAGCTTTCTGACACAGGCTAGCACATTTTTCTCTAGAATCCCTTTTTAGACTTGAGATTTCGTTGTACCCTGCATAGGTTCAAGACGCACTGTGCCAGATGCAGCAAAGCAGCCCCAGTACATAACAGAGGCTCCATATTTCACAGTAGGGACAGTGTCCTTTTCTTGATGCGCTTAATTTTTCCTTCTGGGAACATAAAGCTGATGTGCCTTGGCAAAAAGTTCCTTTTTTGTCTCAGTAGTCCATAAGACATTTTCCCAGAAGCTTTGTGGCTTGTCAACATGCAATTTGGCATATTCCAATCTGGCTTTTTTATGATTTGTTTTCAACAATGGTGTTTGTCTCCCATGTAGTTCACTTTGACTCAAACAGCGGATGGTGCAATCTGACACTGATATTTCTTGTGCTTGTAGTTCACCTTGGATCCCTTTAGAAGTTTTTCTGGGGTCTTTTGATATAATTTGTCATCAATTTTCGTCCTGCCATGTCTAGGGAGTTTAGGTACAGTCCCATAGATCTGGTGCCACCCCTTACTGATGCACTGCACAGTAAGAGGATCAGGAGGAGAACACTGAAATGGCCGCTGTGGACTTTGGCAAAGCACAATGGAGGCTCATTGGCAAGCAGCAGGAGGTGATTCATAGGCACTAGGGGTGTAAGAAAATATCAATATGGATATATATCCTGATATTTTTTCCTGCTTTATTATATCGATGTTCAAAAGCCGTGTATCTAATTTTTGGAAGAATTTTACATGCAAACATTTGTGTATTTTCTTTTCTTTTGGTTCAATTCAAACTCCGACCGCTAGTTGGCAGCAGTGTGCAGTGGGTTTTATTTCCACCATTGGAAAGTAAATCCCTCTATTAAGGTTCAGATATAAACATGTTACGTATCAGTTTGGACTGTTTATTGAATTTTCCTATAATAAATTCAGTCTAAAAAATCGCTGATATCGTCTGGCTTAATGTACCGCAATATATCGTAGTATATTGTATTGTCTCCCCTGTATCGTGATATGTATCATATCACCATAATTTCACCAATACACATCCCTAATAGGCACAGACACTTGAGACGGAGGGGGAGACTGAAAGCATAGAGAAGTCTGAGTCTCCTGGTGGCTGGGAAGGTCACAAGCTCTGATCCCCTTCCATCGCCTGTGGTGCCTCAGGAAGGGGGCGGGGGCCCCATTGCACATTGGCTGACAGCCAGCTGCCTCAGAACCGCCGTCTGCAGCTCCGCCTGTCCCTGCAGTCTCTCCAGCTGTAAGCGTTAGGGTCTGTGGTGCTGTCTGCTTTGCAAATGGTGTAGGAGCCTCTTGTTGGGTGTCATTCAGACCACACAGCTTGCAGGTTCCACACTCTTTATTAGCTCTTGGTTCTCTCAGTGCTTGGCTTAGTGCTGTCATGACTCGTGACCTTCCCAGTCACCGGGAGACTTGGATTCCTCGCTGCTTTTAGTCGTCTCAGTCTCCAGTGTCTGTACTTATGAAGCACCTCTTGCTGATTGCCAATCAGCTTCCGGTAATTGTGCTCTGCCACAGGTATATTTGCATTTATCTTCATTTTTATACTGATGTGTCCCGAAGAACTGGCTGGGATAGCCAAAAAAAAAAAAAACGGTGGTCCAAAAGCCACGTGTGTAAAGAAAAATATGTGCATCCGTAAACAGTCTGAGTGATTACTTAGGGTGGTGATATATGCTCGTCTTTGACTGCAGTGTGCAGAGGTCTGATCAAGAATGGAGAACGTCAGGATGAGGAGAGTGTGGGTGGCCGACACCGGACTGAAGCCCTGAGGCAGCTCTGTCTGATGAACCCCTCTCAAGCCCTTAACATCAGGGCCATGGTGGTTAGTGGAACTCACTCACTGCATCCTCACTAGAGTCTGGAGAAGCTGGTGCCTAACTCCAGTTTTCACTGGACTTTCCACACCTGCATGGGAAGTAGGGTTGTGCTTCGAGTATCGATTGGAACCAGGAAAAAATTTCAGTTTTTTCCGGAATAGTTTAAATTTGAAATTCTGGTTCCTAGTTTTGATGCCCATTCCACCAACTGGAAGAAGAAGCCGCCCAAAATCAATAAAGAAGAGTCCGTTAGAAGTATAGGAGGATCTTTGTTGACATCTTTTTGTCATTGTGTGCAAGCGCGACGTACACTTTAAGGAGAGTTTACTGACAAAACCCCGATACATAAACACTTAAACATCTAAAGACAAGGCGAGGTTTAGAGAGAAGCTTAAAATCTGTATTGAAGAGAAAATTAAAGTTATTAAAAGCCCGTATGAACTCTGGGATGATGGAAAATGTTGGTCTTATTTGCTGGTGTTTTTTTTTCTTCACAAATCTGCTGGGGAGACATTTATTGCTATTCAACAGAAAGCCCTGGATCCTTCACTCATGAAAAATTAGACTTTCAAACGTCTGGAGAGCTACAATTGTATAGTTTTAAAACATAGTTGAGTTGATCTCCCCTGAAAACAGAAAGCTGTGGTCGTGCTAATAGCAGCAGTTAGCTCTGATGAGCTGAGCCACAGCGTTATTTACATCACCTGTGCATGATGGCCAAAGAAAAGGATAAATCCTCAAAGCGACTGAAAAGCTGGTAAGTGTAGTATTACTGCACTGATTTCCAATTTTACTTCAACTGAGTCTTCCTCGGTCAGATGGAGCAGGCGACTCCATTGGTACAGTTCAAGCAGTTTAATTGAGATTGCACATTCTGTTCCAGTATGTACAGGTGTCTTCATCGATGTGAATGTATGTAGAGGTGTATGTGTCTGTAGGTGTATACATGTGATGTGGTTGTCTAGAAAACACACATAAAGGGGAGACAAAGAGATTTCCATTACTGTAAATAATTAATGTATCTATCAACAGACAGCAATACATGTTCAGGTTTACAACTCTACACTAATAATTTTGCAACTCTAGTACCAGAATCCGCACCACCATAATACGTCCACCAGATGGCACTATCAATCCACAAACAGAAACTGATAAATATCAGCTAATTGTAACAGGCTCAACTGGCCAACAGTTCAAAGATTGGAGACACCGTATCTACACACCACTAACATCTATGATTAAATCCAGCCAGGTAAATGGGATGAACTGCAAAAAAAAACATCCACTCAGTATACTGTAGGCCATATTGTGGCATTGGGTTCTGTACAAATAACAATAAGAAACTAACAGAGATCATCAATCCATGTTTATACCCAGCTCAGCTTCCATACTTGCATAATAAATACGCACACAGCGGAGATACACCCAAGAAACACCAACAAACACCTTCAACACCTCAACTGCTCAATCACCAATCAGCTGAGTACGCCCAGGATGCTATAATAAATACTGAGGTGCATTATGGTAAACGTAGTATGATCAATGCGCCGCTAACAGAGGACTTTTAACAGCAAGTCTTCATTAATCTATCCTTTGTAACGTAATGAAGGAGCTGTTCCACCGAAGGTTATTTACCCTCTCTCTCTCCTCAGGATTAACTAATCTGCATGAGACTGCCCCAAGGTCATGCATTTGCTTCTAAACTGATTCTTCCTTTCCAGCTCAAGAGAAGAATGAAGACAAAGGACTCTTACTTTTAATAAATCAGAACTCTATTTTTAATAAAGCTAATCAAACAAAGTGTTTGTCCAATAATAATGTGAACCAATCTGTGAAATGACAATGTTTATGATCAGTTGTTTTTAATAAGTAATACAACTTTAAACTAGCTGCACTAGACATTCTCATCCATGTAATGTTAAGTCACATGACACATTTCCCTTTTCTGATCCAATCAGAACCTTCTAGATCTGACGCGAGGCGTGGTTTTGTTGGTGCTTGGTAAATCTGTCCTTTTTTGATTCGACCGTAAATCAAAACATCCAAATTATAAAACTATGCCCACATCATCTTAACTTCAGTTTAAAGCGTTCTAGAGAAGTTGTCAGAGTGGCCAATCCATAATTTTCCTCTTAAAGCTGAAAGAATTTACGACAAGCTGGATTAAATCTGTTGCATGTTCCACCTGCTGCAACGGTTCCTTTCAGAATAAAAGCTGAACCATCCGGACCCCTTTTTGGGTCTTGCTAGATGCCAATAAAACTGTCGTGACCTGGAAGTATCTCAAGACTGGTCTGGTCGGCAGCCGCTGCTTTTCTACCGGCTTCGGTGCCAGAGGAGGTCAAGCTGGACCTCGACATTCCTGATCTAACGGGGACGTCCGCCAAGGGTATGTAGACTGACAGAATGGCGTCTCAATGTGTGTTATAAATCTCCAAACCAAAGCTTAGCGCAAAACATCACCTTCACGCCCATCAGAACTAATCGTTTCTCCGGATTTGGTGGTTCTGAACAACATTCCACACTACATCGTCTGTCTTGCCTCTTGCTGTAGAAAGTTCCCAGTCATCCAGGTTTTGATAGTCTAAGCAGGTGTGTAACAGCTATAACTTAGACGTCTCATGGGGCTTAAAGGAGACGTACAGTTGGATGTCTTCTGCGTAAAGATGGTAGGAGATTCCTTTGAAGGAGCTCAGGATGTACTGAAGAGGAAGCAGATAGAGGAGGAAGAGCAGAGTCCCCAGCACAGAACCTTGTGGGACACCATGGGTAAGGGAGGTGGTGGAGGAACTAAAGTTGGAGATGGCCACAGAAAAGTAATGCTCAGAAAGATGAGAGGAGAACCACTCCAGAGCAGTTCCTGATGGTCAACAGTGTCAAAGGCTGCAGTCAGGTCCAGCAGGGCCAGAACAGAACAGTCCCCTGCATCACTGAGTCAGAAGGTCATTGGAGACCCTAAGAAGAGCTGTTTCAGTAGAATGAGCTCTACAACAACCTAACTGGAAGCTATCATAGATGTTATGTTGATCAAGAGCAGCTGTGAGTTGTTTAGCCACAACCTTTTCCAAGATCTTGGAGATGAACGAAAGTTTAGAGATGGCTTTATATTTATGTTTATGTTTATTCATTTAGCAGACGCTTTTATCCAAAGCGGCTTACAATTTATAACTTATAGGGCATGTTGTGATCTGTGGGGGAAACCGGAGTACCCGGAGGAAACCCACGCATGCATGGGGAGAGCACGCAACTCCACGCAGAAAGGCCGCAGCCAAGTTTCGAACCTGCAACCTTCGTGCTGCGAGGCAACAGTGCTAACCACTGCGCCACCATGCAGCCGTTGGGTGGTGCAGCCGCAGATGGGTCTGAAGCTGCTATGGAGAGTGGGGTCAAGACTCGTTTTTTAAAGAAGCGGGTGGATTACAGCTTTCTTAAAGTAAGCAGGGACCTGACCAGAAACCAGAGAAGCATTAATTATAGAGAGCACGCTGGGACCGATAGACTGAAAAGCGCTTTTAAACAAAGATGAGGGTAAGATGTGGAGGGGGCATGCAGAGGTCTTCATAGAGTTAACTAGTTTGGTTAGCTCAGGCAAAGAAACAGGAGCAAAGCAATCTAGGATGACGGGCCTGATTGGAGTCGGGAGAGGCAGTGATAAGGCTGACGGAGAGATGCTAGATCTAACCTTATTGACTTTGTCCACAGAGAAAGACAGAAAGTTCTCACAGTCTGCAACAGAGTGGATGGACGCTGTAGGAGAGGCAGGAGAGACAATGCTGCTGATGGTGTTAAACAGCACCTTGGGGTGCCCTTTGCTCAGGGACACCAGGTTTGAAAAATAGGAATCTCTCTGACTGCAGAGTTAAAGGATGTCAGAAGATCCTTTAGGTGCAGCAGATGGATGTGGAGATGGGTTTTCTTCCACAAGCGCTCAATTTTTCTGCATTGGCGCTTCAGGCTGCGAAGGTTGTCATTAAACCAGGGAGTAGGGTTCACAGCAGGAATTGATCTGGTTCTGACAGGACAGATGTCCAGAATGGAGAGGCAGTGCTCATTAAACTAAGAAGTTAAGGAATCTGGGTCGTTATCAGAAGAACATGGTGGATCAAAAGCAACAGAAAAATTGCTAGCTGTGCTCTCATTAAGAAAACGAGAACTAACCAGACAGCAAGCAGAAGGTGGGGACGTAGAAACCGACAAATTAAAGAAAATGCAATGGTGATCTGAAATATAAAAGTCCTCAGGACAAACACTGTCAGCATTTAGACCCAGGGTAAAAACAAGGTCCAGAGTGTGCCCACTGGTGTGTGTGGGGCCAGAAACATGCTGGGTAAAGCTGAAGGTGTTCATGAGGCTGGAGAAATTCATGGCAAAGTGGTCTGAGGGATCATCAACATGGATGTTAAAGTCACCAACAATCACCAGTCTGGACAGCTTCACAGTGGAGGATAGAAAGTCACTAAACTCCTGAAGGAAAGAACTGTTTGCACCAGGTGGACGATAAGCCACAGCACAGTAAAACGGGTCCTTACGCCCGACTTTAATCAGCTGCAGTTCAAAGGAAGCAAAGTGACCAGTGGTTGTAGAGCTACATGGAAGATGGTCTCTGAAAACAACAGCTAGGCCTCCACCACGACCAGAACCCCGGGGCTGGCTAAGAAAAGAATAACCACTTCGGCAGAGTTCAATCAGACCAGAATAATCAGATGTTTGCTGCCAAACTTCAGTCAGAAACAGAAAATCCAGGTTTTTAGATCATTGAGCAGGAAGGTCTTATTGTTAACAGAGCGGGTGTTTAATAGAGCCATGCATAGTGAGATGGAGGAATCAGAAACTAAAGAAACATCTAGAGTTAGTGGACGTAAATTAGTAGGGTTAGATCCACGGTGTTTATAAAAACCACTTATGGAGGGAACAGGAGGAAAAGCCACTGAAGAGTGAGGATAAACAGACCTTAAAAAACTTGGACGGAGAAACCGCAGCGCAACGCGGCCTGGCGGAATGCAGAAGTGGCGCTCACATCACTAAACAAAGGACAAGAAACTAGAAGATCACGCCAGTGTTTACTAGATAAACCAAGAGAAGTCTTATTCTCACCTGTATTCCTGCTCATTTACCTCTTTTCCTCCTACGTTTTCCCGGGACCGGATAATCATCGCTGGAGGCGTCCTGGTAGGAATCATTTGGCTCCGGGCCAGCACGCCGATCAGGTAAACAAACAGGAAGGTACGTCCTCTGTGCATCTTGGGCGATCGTGAACGAACGGAAGGACAAAAGAGTCCGGTGATCATAGGAGATGGTAGCAGGTAAACTACCGAAGAGGATCGCAGACAGGAGCAAGGTGGAAAAGGGGAGGCTAGTAGAGAAAATTTAGAAAAAGTGGCCGGTGAGCGCGGCTAAGCCAAGCACAGGCACCATCTTGTTACCCATTGCATCACAAATAGTATTCTCGCAGGACACGCCCGAAACACCTCCCCAGGGAGGCGTCCATGAGGCATCCTGACCAGATGCCCAAACCACCTTAACTGACTCCTTTAGATCCGGAGGAGCAGCGGTTCTATTCTAAGTCCCTCCTGAATGTTCAAGCTCCTCACCCTATCTCTAAGGCTGAACCCGGCAACCCTACAGAGGAAACTCATTTTGGCCGCTTGTATCCGCAGTCTTGTTCTTTCGGTCATTACCCAAAGCTCATGACCATAGGTGAGGATTGGGAATCTTCTCTTCAAGGCACTCAAGAGTACAGACGCTTCTCTCTTTCGCTCCCTCATCTTTTTTCCCAAGGCTCCTTGTCCTGTCTGCCCACAGAGCGCTTCTCTGCATTTCTTCAGAAAAACTATTTTTACCAACCTTGGATTTGATAAATTGGTCATTCAATGGGATTGATAAGATTTTTTCAACAATGAGAACGGAGCAGGGGACTCCCACATGTCCATAGGGGACACACCCGGTGGGATATATGCTGGATTCCTGGAAGGAGTGGAAGATCATATGCCTCAGCCAGCTGTCCATTGAGGATATGGAAAACGTGTGGATATTCGGCCTGATGATCACTGGATTTCTTCTGATTGGAGTGGGAGGATATCTGGTTTTCTGTAAATTTGGGAAGACGGGAGCGATTGGAGGGCGACCCGAACCCACGGAAAGCACCGTCCGTGTGGAGACTTCTCAGACTGGGACATTACTCGAGGTGAATCGTAAGGTGGACAATGTTCTAGCTGCGATACCGGTATTAGTGCGCAAAATGGATGTCATCTCGGAGAGAGTCACCGGACGGTATGGTCGGGTTTAAAAACCCAAAATTGGCTTCACTGAAGGACTGGAATGATCAGTTTAAAGACTGAAGGCAGAGAGGAAAATTATCTCAGCCTGACCCAAACAAATTCTTGTTATCTCTTTGGCCTCTCTTTGGCCTGTCTAGAAAAAAACTGTTGCAGCCATGAAACCCTCTGGCTCCCCAGATGATGTTATCCCACCTCGACTCCTGAAAGAGGTGTTTCCTTTAATTAGCAATAGCGTGCTAGGCATTATAAATAGTAGCTTGACATTAGCTGAAGTTCCTCGTGCGTTTAAACACGCAGTTCTACAACCAATCTTGAAAAAACCCGGCCTCGATCCCACCGATTACTCTAATCTACGACCAATTTCCAAATTACCGTTTTTATCTAAGGTCCTTGAGAAAATAGTCTATGCACAGTTGATGAAACATCTAAATGAATTTCTGGTAATGGACACCTGTCAGTCTGGTTTTAGACAACAGCACAGCACTGAAACTGCTCACGTTCGGGTGTTTAATGACATTTTTCTGGCTTTACATTCAGGTTTCCATGTGGTTCTGGTACTTTTGGATCTATCTGCAGCATTCGACACGATCGATCATGACATTTTGATCACAAGACTTCACACTTGGGCTGGCATTTCAGGCACAGCCCTGGATTGGTTTAGGTCATACTTTAGTAACAGGTCTGCTAGGGTCATGTTGGATGGCTGTTCATCCGAGTCACAGCCTCTAAGTTGGGGTGTCCCACAAGGTTCGGCCCGTTACTGTTCAACCTCTATATACTGCCCTTAGGAGCCATTTTCAGAAAGCACGCTGTCTCATACCATCTTTACGCTGACGACTGTCAAATCTATTTTTCATTTAAGCCAACTCAATCAACGAAAGTTCTGTCTGATTTTATCCTTGAGGTCAAGCAATGGCTAGCTGATAACTTCCTCCATCTCAATGACTCCAAAACTGACTTAATCGTTTTCAGTCCTTACAGTACCATGGTGACTCATCAACCTGACCTCAACTATCTCTCACCTAATGTATCCTCTGTAATCTCCAACCTTGGAGTAAAAATGGACCAGGCTCTGAAGATGGATGCCCAGGTCAATAACACAGTTAAATCATGTTTTTACCAACTAAGACGCATCTCGAAACTAAAGCACATCCTGAGTGTCCGTCTTCTGAAATCGGTGGTCCATACTTTTATCACTGCAAGGCTGGATTACTCTAACTCCTGCTTATACGGCATCAGTAAAGCAGCTCTTTCTAGACTTCAGCTGGTCCAGAATTCTGCAGCTAGGTTGCTGACTGGAGCTGACAGAAGACAACACATTTATCCAATTCTGAAATGTCTCCACTGGTTGCCCGTGCAGTTCAGGATAAACTTCAAAATTATGCTTCTCACTTACAAATCCTTGAACCATCAAGCTCCTCCATATCTGTGTGAACTTGTCCATTACTACAACCCGCCGCGTGCTCTCAGGTCTGAAGATAAGCTCCTCCTAGCTGTTCCGAATGCACGTTTAAAAAGCCTTGGAGAAAGGGCTTTCTCTGTCTGTGCACCGAAGCTGTGGAACGCATTACCACTGCTAGTGAGGCAAGCACCAACAGCTAGCATTTTTAAATCACGCCTGAAAACTCACTACTTCAACCTAGCTTATACCACATAATTATGAACCTCACTTACATCTGCACTGTTTAAAAATGGACTCCACAATTATCGACTTCCGTACTATTGAGGTTCTTTTTTAAAATGTTTTTCAAATTTTTTATTCACCCTGTGTCTTATTGATTTTTAGCTGTTATTTTTGGGAATTTTGTTGTATTTCCTTTTTATCTTTTATCTGTGTTCGACATGTTTGTATAACGCCGGTTTAATTAACTAACATTTTAGTGTACAGCGCCTTGTTTGGTTGTAATGCCTTGTGAATGCGCTTTATAAATAAAATTGGATTGGATTGGATTGGATTATCTGAATCTGATGCCCTGGTAGCCTTGAGCGGCAAGCAACAAACCCCCACGAAGGAATGCAGACAGATGCTGTGAAAACCCGACCTTGTAGGACAGTGGTCCCTGAGGACCCGGGTTGGGAAACACAAATCTGTTCACTGGTATACCGGCATATGAAAAAATTAATAAAACTGAAATAAACACTGACTTTTGTTACGAACTGGTAGACCACACATGTCTACATGAATATTTTAAAAAAGACACAACAATCTGAAGTTTAGGCTAATTTCTGATGATATTGCTGTGATTCCACACAACAAACCTATTTCTTGTCTGTGTTCAGGTAGAGGAGTGTCACCTGCCTGGTCTCGGTGTTGCTCTGACTCTGGACTACAAGCCTGATGCACCTGATGAGGCAGTCAGCCCTCTTGTTTCCTATGTAAGCGGTTTACTTCTGGGCACTAATAGCAAAGTCCGCACCTGGTTCAGCATGTTCATTCGCAACGGGCAGCAGGTAAGGAGAAAATGCGTTACCTGTACAACCTTTTGCTTAAAGCTGGTGCTTGGAAACTCAAACGTATGTTTTACTTCACATAAGACACACACCATTGCAATAAATTTATTAGCACAAGCAGACAAGTACATTTAGAATTGGTGAAGTACACACGCAGACAAAATTGTTGGTAGGTCAATGAAATAAAAAACCACAATGGTCACAGAAATAACTTGATTCTGACAAAAGAAAGGATAAATAAAACATTCTATGACTATTAACCAATGAAAGTCAGACATTACTTTTCAACCATGCTTCTATGGAATAAAAACAAAAAATAAACTTGTGGAACAGGCATGGACAAAAATGATAATACTCCTAGAAAAGACTGAAAATAATGTGTCCAAAGGGACATGTTAGTTCAAGTTGTGCCCACTAATTGACATCACGTCTACAATCTTGCAATCAGTCAGTGAGCCTATATTTAGGACACCAGGTAGTCACTGGCCCAGTCTCAATACTCGCACTGCACCCTGCGGTCTTCAGCGAAGTGCACTTGAAGAAAGAGCACAGTAAGGCGTGGACTACATCCAGCTTCACCTTTAACCCAAAAATAAGAAAAATAAACAATTTTTTATATAGTGCTTTAAAAATAAAAAATCTCAAGGCGTATCACATTAAAAAAGAAAAAAATAGATATATATAAAAAAGGAAAACTGGGGGGGGGGAACCTTTAATTTAAAAATGAAGGGAAAATGATTAAGGTAATCACAGGAATAGGTAACTGAATTGACATTAAAGAGGAGCTTCATTAAGAAACCATTTTTTATTTTATGTATATTTTTCATGCAGGCTGAATTTATTTTATTTATTGTTTATTTGATGGACATACCAATGACATTGATTCATGTTTTTATAGCACTAGTGCTAATTCACAACACATGTCCCTATCAGCAGTTCAAAAAACAAAAGCGAAAGAAAACCATCAATCAATATATAAACTAAAATACAGCAATATCCTGTCTAAAAACATAACTTAGACACAAAGCCAATGGTACTCAAAACATTCAGCTGGTTCACTACATTTTGCGTGAGCATTGTTGGTGAGACTTTAACCATTGTTAGAGTCCTTTTTTTAAAAAACTCGACTGTTGCTCAGTAGTTTTAACTCTAGCGACTTCCAACCTTTGGGCCCTTTCACAGAGAGAGCAGACTGGCAAAAAGCAGTCTTGCATCTAGGGACAAGACAATCTCCACAGAAGGGTATCTGCAGGTCCTTAAAAAGTCTTAAAAAGTCTTAAACTTGCTTTTCCAAATGTAAGGCCTTAAAAAGCCTTAAAAATGACAAATAATCCTTAAATAGTTTCCAAAGGTATTAAATTATCAAAGACCCAATAAACAAGATTCTTTTATTTATAAAATTTTCGTGAATTTCTAGTTAGTTCAGCATTTTTTGTGTATGATATTGGCATAAGCGGAACTGTACACATTTGGTTGGTTGTGAAAGGGGGCTATTTTTAGATGAGCATGCTAGTGGGAGTTTGAGGCATGGGGAAGTGCAACATTAATGGTAACTGGATGGCTAATCCCATGTTCACGACGCGGTTAGCACTGGTTCCAGGCAATAGCTGGAAATTATAGCTTAAATTTAATTTTAAAAAATAGCTTAAATTTGGTCAAAGTGGCCTTAAAAAGGTCTTAAAAAGTCTTAAATTTGGCTCCCTTAAACCTGCAGATACCCTGCACAGGCAGAGGCACGTCTTTTCCTTACGTGAGAACTTGACCTGAGAGTAATTTTGATGTATTATTATTTAGAAAAGCATATAGCCACAGTTTTATCAACAATGAGCAGGGTTTTTCCTGGCCAAATTGAGGCAGAGGTGGTACCATCCTGACCATGTGTCAGCACATACATTTTCTGTACATTCAACTGCCTCATTGTTTTAAAGCCAAAATATTTTTTGTTAAGTGTTCTAATCTAAGCTTCTGTTGATTAATTGAATATTCCATTTGACAACGTTTCAAGTGAAACAAAACTGGTTTGCTGCTAAAAAATATTAAATTAAACAACAAAATTATCAGACTCTTGTTACAAAAGGCTCAATAATATGCATTAGATTGGGGTTTAGTTCTCTTTTTCGCATCTGATATTTATAGTTAAAAATATTTTTAAATATTTGACCTACATTTCAGTAACATTTTAGGTTTGTATTAATAGCACTCATGTTAGTCAAAATAACACATACATATATCCAGTAAAATATAATGAATTTCATTAACATGCATTTGTATTGGAAATGGTAATAACATTTAATTTCTGCTGCTAACAATGTAATGGTGGCATGTCTGTTATGTACAGGTTAGCAGTAATCCAGTTTAAATTAAGTTCAAAGGTAGAAGCGTTTGTGAATTATATACTACAACGGCTTGCTGTACTTCCTGCGAATGTGACTCGTATATGCAGCGGTTTTGAACCGTAGCACTGCAGGATGCAGAATAAACAGGATGGTGGGGACTTTTCATCCGCTTGTAGAGTTTAATCTTTCTTAGTTTTACGATCATCAAATATATTTCTGTGTGTCACTTGATCATGAGACTGCTACCCGTTAGCTTTAGCATTAGCCCATCTGCGTGTAGCAACACTTTTGATCCCAAACTTTGGACTGGTTCTGCCTTTGCTGGTTCATTTATTTTCCTCCACTGCATCCAGATGACCACACTGTGCTCCAGTAAAAATCATTTTTTCTTACACGATTGGTTCATCTATTCCATTTTACTGTGTGCTGATTTATCGCCCACCTGGACCAGCCACAGCTTTTCTTAAGGATTTTAGTGATTTTTTATCTTCTATCATAAAGCTGGAAAATGTTTTAATTCTGGGAGATTTTAATATTCATATTGATGACAGCACTTCTGGCCCAGCAGTGGAACTTTTAACAATGACTGAATCTTTCAATTTTGAGCAGCATGTCTCTGGCCCCACCCATCAAAAAGGCCATACTCTAGACCTTGTGTTTTCCCTTGATCTGAATATTTCCAATCTTTGTGTGAAGGATGTCCACATGAGTGACCATAGCTGTGTTTTATTTGATTTACACTTTAATCTTGAGTCTACGCCTTCTGTGGTCATCCCACAAAGGCGCATTATTTCAGAGAATACAACAGCTAGATTCATTGAGATGTTTGACTCCAATTTGTTTTTGGAATCTCAGGATGTGGACAGCCTTATTCACAGCCTAAATAGTCGCTGTAAATCCATTTTGGATGTGGTTGCTCCTTTTAAATCTAACAGGGTAACTCGGAAACCATTTTCTCCTTGGATAAATGACAGCATTCAGAACTTGAAAAGACTGTGCAGGAAAACGGAACGCCTGTGGAAGTCCACTAAACTCGAGGTCCATAGGCTGTACCTTAAGGACCTTATGCTTTCTCTAAATGAGCTGATAAAAAAATCCAGGTCTGAATACTTCCGCAAACTGATTATCCAAAACAAGAAAAAACCACAAGTTTTATTTGACACTATTAGCTCTATTGTGGCTCCTGCTGCGCCTCTTACACCTGTTTTCAACAAAGCAGATGCAAACAAATTCCTTAATTACTTTGTTGATAAAATTCAAAATATCAAAGACAAACTCCCATCTTTTCAGTCATGTAATGATGATATTGATGAACTCCCTGCGCACGCGTGGTCCTCTTTCTCACCTGTAACACAGGATGATATTTTAGCTTTGGTAACCACAATGAAGCCCTCTTTTTGCCTGGCTGATGTCTTACCTTGTAAACTCCTTTCAAAAGTATTTGATGCCATTGGTCCCTGGGTTACCAGAATGTTTAACCTGTCCCTTTCTTCTGGCGTTTTCCCTAGCTGTTTTAAACATGCTTTTGTGGAACCCCTACTCAAAAAATCTAATCTGGATCCAACAGATCCTAAAAATTTTAGACCGATATCAAAACTCCCTTTCCTGTCCAAAGTCTTAGAGAAAGTGGTATCTGAACAACTGGTTTCCTTCTTACAGGATCGCAATATCTTTGACAGGTTTCAGTCCGGTTTCCGTAAGCGCCACTCTACGGAAACTGCGCTGCTTAAAGTGTCCAATGACATCTTGATGTCCGCAGACTCTGGGAAATGCACGGTCCTAGTTTTACTAGACCTTTCGTCCGCATTCGACACGGTTAACCATGAGATCTTGCTGAGTAGGCTCCGCGAGTTGGTTGGGTTGTCAGGTTCTGTCCTGGCGTGGTTTACATCCTATTTATCCGGGAGAAGCCTAAGTGTCTCAGTCAACCAGATCCTGTCTGACCCAACTGATCTACGGTGTGGAGTACCCCAGGGCTCAGTTTTGGGCCCGATTTTGTTCTTGTTGTACATCCTTCCTTTAGGAAACCTAATCCAGGAGTTTGCCGATGATGTTTCCTATCATCTCTTTGCTGATGATCTTCAGCTGTATTGTTCTTTCAAGCCTTCTGACGTTAAAAAATTGCATTCTTTATTATCATGTTTTGAGCGAATCAAACAGTGGCTCGGTGCAAATGCCTTACGGCTGAACTCAGACAAAACTGAAGTACTGGTGATTGCCCCCGATGATGCTGCTCCAGGGATTCACCAGCAGTTAGGTGATCTGAGCTTGTCTGTAAAACCTACCCTTAGAAACCTTGGAGTTTTCTTTGACAAGGGAATGTCTCTTGAACATCACGCAAAGCAGTTAACTAGAAACTGTTTTTACCACTTGAGACAAATTTCTAAACTCAGAACAATGGTGTCTAAAGCTGATCTTGAGTTGATTATTCACGCGTTTACATCATCCCGTTTAGACTACTGTAATAGTTTATTTTCTTGTCTAAACAAAAAAGAGCTGTCCCGCTTACAACAAGTCCAGAATTGTGCAGCTAGAATTCTGACCCGTGACAACAGAAGGGCCCACATTACCCCCATTTTAAAAGCTCTTCATTGGCTTCCTATCACATTTCGCATACATTTTAAAATTCTTGTGCTGACTTTCAGAGCGCTGCATGGTCTGGCTCCATTGTATGTTCGAGACATGCTCTGCCCTTACACGCCTTCTCGCAGGCTGAGATCTATGGATCAAAACCTTTTAATGGTCCCACGTACTCAGTTCAGGACACGAGGAGATCGCTCATTCCAGGCCGTCGCTCCTAGGCTCTGGAATGAGCTACCTCTGTCTTTACGCTCAATCGACTCAGTTGATGTTTTTAAGAGCAATCTTAAAACCCATTTGTTTCTCCAGGCATTTTAAACTTAGTCTCATTCAGATTGGTTTTATTTGACACTGTATATTGTGGCTGTATTTTACTGTATTTATATGTTGTTGCCTTTTAACTTGTGAAGCACTTTGTGACCTTTTTGTCTGTGAGAGGTGCTATAGAAATAAAGTTACTTACTTACTTACTTACTTACTTTTGGTCAATAAAGTTCTGGGGAAAATAGTAAATCAAAGATGTTGCACCAGTGCTACATTTAAAAATAGACAGACCCACACAGACAGTTTTTTTTTTCGTCGCACTGTACAGCCCTGCTCTGATATGGAAGAGCCTGGGGGAAAATCTGGACGTCAATAGCACCAACATTAGATATGTACCAACTAGCGAGAAAAGCTATTTTTGATCATTTTCTGCAGTGGTTTTAGAGCTTTTCGGTGCACCGCTGCTGATACAGCGCCCGTGTAGTGGCGCAACACTGCAACTGCAGTTAAAATAACATCCATAGAGCTGGGGGCAGAGTGAAGTCAGGCTGGGGCGACACAAAATTAGCTGGAGGCGGCCACCACGCAAATTTGAATGCAGGAAAAACCCTGTTGATAGTTGAGTGTGATGACTCAAGCCATTTGGAGATGCATGATAGTCTGTGTCAAGTGCTCACCAGCCAGGCTGGATGTTTTAGTGGACACATACATTATTGTGTCATCAGCAAACATCTGACCATTTACCCCTGGGCTGCTTCCCGTCAGGTGATTAATATACATTAAAAATAGTATTGGACCAAGCACGGATCCTTGCAGTACACCCATGCAGTTTGCTAGCAAGAATCTGGGGTTACGTTACATAACCAACATTCTTATTGAGCTATGTGGAGAAGCCTCTCTGACACCTAAATGAAGCACAGCCTGTGACTTCTGTCTCCTCTTTTTTCCTCTGCTACCAGAGTAAGAGAGAGAGCAGCTCGGTTCTGTGGCAGATGAGAAGGCAGCTGCTACTGGAATTAGTGGCAATCTTACCACGTTCACGCAGCACCCGTGTGCCCAACAATGGCAAAATTGATGATGAAGGCAGTTCTGGGTACTCGGGTCTCAGGGAGGAACATGTGGTGAAGGCCAGTGCTTTGCTCAGACTCTACTGTGCTCTCATGGGCATTGCAAGTCTCAGGTAAGACTTAACGATTTATTTCACCTGTTATTTAACCAGGATGGTGTCATTCAATTCAATTCAGTTCAGTTCAGTTTATTTCTATTGCACCAGTTCACAATAAATGTTGTCTCAAAGCATTTTATAAAATGCTACAAACATAATCAGATTGAATTGATTAAAAAATGTGTTGATATGAAAAGTTTACAGGGATAGGGTAGGACCACACCCAAAAGGACCGGATCAGTTATCATTTGCAAAGCAAAGGAAGCCAAGTTAATGGCAGCAACAACAGTAATTACAAATATGGTATAACTAAAGGGATGATCCAGGATAACCCAAGCTAACACTAACTAGACATGGTGTCTGTATCACAGATGGAAATGAGCCTTTGGATTGAAAGCTCTGCCTCTCATTCTTCTGTTAGAAGCTGTAGGAACCAGAAGAAACCCTCCTGTCATAGATTAGTATCATAATGTTTCATATATGCTGCATCCTGGTTTTACTGGTGAAGATTTTATTCAGATAAAAAAGTAAAAGCTTCAAGTCACACATTACTAAATGTGTTATTTAAAACTTTCTGTCCTAGATGTGACTGCAGTTTGAAACTTGCCTGACAGATATAAAGTGCTTGATAAAGTGTATTATTATTTTTATTATTATTATTATTATTATTACTACTACTACTACTACTACAACTACTACTACTATTATCACTAGGGATGTCCGATATTATACGTGTACTGATATTATTTACCGTTATTGACCTTAAAGTATAATACTGGAAAATATTGGTATCTGATTTTCTTCTCTAGTGACCCAACCCTTGCATACCATGCAAACATTCAGGGTAGCCATTTGGTCTTAGTGTTTTAGCATTAAATTCAGCAAATTTAAGTCCTTATAAATTTCAGAAAAAGTGCATTATTTTTTAGATATGTAGATGTTATATTTCATTTTTCAAAAAGTTAACATACATATGTACACAACATATATTTTGTTGTAAATACACTACTAGATTTTGTCTCAATAAATGAAACAATATGGCGAAGTGCACATTACGACTCCGTACTTGTTGCCACGATTTAGGACAGCGGCAATCCAGAACAGCACCTGTAGGAGGGCATAGCTGGTAATGTTTCCTCACTCCCAGGATTTAGCAAAATGTTAATATTTTTAAAATATCAACATAATTTCAAACGAGAAACAGAATGACCCAGTAACATTTATACTAATATACCGTAAATCCTCTAATACAGGCCCGGGCCTGTATTTGACTCAAGCTCATCAAGCTCCAGGCCTTTATTGGAAGGGGGACCAGAATTAGAGGCGGGCCCCAATTTCTATTTGAGCAAAATGAACTAATGGTTCGCTGGAGTTTTTGACAATTATAATTGCGCCCACATTTTCAAAGTTAAACACATTTCTTTTAACAACGGTAGTTTCTGCTTCAGCCCTCTCCCCCCTCCCCCTGTGCAGCGGCCGCAAACTCACTGATGCGCCTGCAGCCTCTCAGAGTTCCTGCTGCTCTAAACATTAAAATAATTATTTTATTTTCTGTTCCTCACTTCTGATTACCTTCAATGGTGTCTGTTTGTTGCAACCAGCAGGTACAAAAACTAACTTGTTTTTATTTGACTATTTTTCTGTCCTGCCTGTTTATTATCTTCCTGCATCTCCTCTCAATCCTAAAGAAACACTGCTACCTGGGTTCATATATATTCACCTTATGAGTTACCTTTGAACTGCAGTTCTAAAAGATCTACCGACCGCAAAAACAGCTGAGTGCTCGCCGGCCGCATCAGTTAGGTGTGTCACCGAGGACAAAACAGGTGATGCGCCCCGATCCACAGCAGCGAAACGCATCAGGCACAAATAAAAGAATAAAAGACAGAAAACATAAAAGGAAATGAGCCGACATGAACGATCGCGTGTTAAATTAGTTTTTGAGGTGGCGACACCTGATTTGATAATGTTACTGTGGCCGTGCTCAGGACGCAGATGTCTGGAGCGCGTCAACAATCAGAGCTTTGCATGCACAAGCTGGTTAAGGTTAGGATGGGGTGAGGGGAATGTTAAATTGCAAGAGGGTGAATGTCACAATTTGGTTAAATGTCCATTTTACGGCGGGTGTCAGTGCCGACGCTCTGGCACAGCGCGTTGCCTCCCGACGCGCAGGAGCTTGTCACTTGCTGACAGCAGGCTGCTGTCTTTTCCTTGGACTGCATCTTGCCGGTCATTATCATGTGACAGCGACTAGTCGATGACAGGCATAAAAAGTCACTATAGAGCGGTGAAGTCGACTAGTGACTAGTTCATACAACCCCTGCTACTGCTCCCCAGAGTGTTCTGCAGCATAATCAGCACATTCTCTTTGAACTTGATGTCAAATTATCGCCTCCTCATCGTCTCCACACGGTTAAAGTTACCCTCGCGGTCTATCACTGGCAAATCAAAAGTGAGACGGATGACACAACCGCCACCCGTACTTGCTTGTTACCACATTCCACCCGGCCACAATAAAAAATCGTCCATTATTCACCTCCGCCGACTCCGACACCGGCCAAAATATGAGTGCGGACAAATGCACATACGAGAGGTCACCGCATGGTTCATAAATCAGTCTTTGAACTGTTTCTACAATTCTAAATTCGGTTGTAGGAGAGAATATAGAACAGTTCCTACAAACGTTAGATAAATGAGGGCCCAGCGGTAGAGTGTCCGCCCTGGGACTGGGAGACCGGGGTTCAAATCCTGGTCGGGTCATACCAAAGACTTTGAGAAAAGGGGACTGAATGGATTGGATTGGGGGTTAAACAACCAAATGGTTCCCGAGCGCAGCTGTTTCTACAGCTCATCACTTTCTCAGGGGAAGGGTCAAATGCGAAGTGTGTGTGACAACTAGTGGGACTTAAACTTATTAGGAGGTACCCCGCATATTTCTATCGGTTTATATTAGTATCAAAAATTAAGAGACAATATTGAATATCTGTAATAAAACCAATATCAAGCATCTCTAATTATTACTATTATTATTACTATTGTGCAGACCGACAGATGAAGAGGCAGAGCAGCTGTTACAGTTGATGACCAGCCGACCGCCTGCCACTCCAGCTGGCGTTCGCTTTGTTTCTCTGTCCTTCTGCAAACTGCTGGCCTTCCCCACCCTGGTCAGGTACCAACCAGTCTTTTAACTAACTACTGGTAACTGTTGTCTGTCCACATGTCTCAGAATCAGGATGTTTATTGCTCTATACTTGTTTTTCTACATTATTTTTTGTAATGTACCCCCACGCCCCAATAAATAAAGTGTGCAGGCTCCCATACCCTACTAGCACCCCCCACTAATTGAGAACTACTGCAGTGACTAAATATCTATTCAGAAACATTTGTGTCTGTTTCTTACGTTTGATAAATGTGTATGTGTGTGTGGGTGTGCGTGTGTGTGTGTGTGTGTGTGTGTGTATGTGTGTGTGGGTGTGCGTGTGTGTGTTTGTAGCACACCAGAGCAAGAACAGCTGATGGTGATGTGGCTGAGCTGGATGATCAAAGAAGAAGAGTACTTTGAGAGGTAAGGATCTTCTGTATTGATGATCTTGAAGCTGAATCTGAACGTAGTTGATCTGTAATGGATCACCTTTCTGTGGTCTATCATTTCTCAGTCATGATAAAACAGCTACGCAGAGATAATCCAAATTATGATTAGATTTGTTTTCTTTAATGCATAAACTGTATTTTTGTCTGCAAATCTAATCTAATTGTACCAAATAACAGAAATTGAGTATAACAACATGAAAATGTTTGAACTTTTCCAACCTTTTGAGATTGCTCTTTTTACTTTCTAAGATCCACATGAAGTTGAACCACTTTTGGTATTTGCACAAACTAAAGTAGCAGTCACTGACATAAATGTATTCCTATGTGTGCACTTTATTGCTTGTATTTAGTGTTTGTTTAAAGCAACAATGGCAAATCTGCAAAATAAGGTACCTTGAAGAGCGAATCACTCCAAATAAACATTTTTTTGCTGATAAACTATATAAATGAGTGTCTGATTGTGCTGTAGACAAATGTAGTCAATAATTTGGCATTTTAGTTCATTTTAGTTTAGTTTAGTGTGTGTGTGTGTGGGTGGGGTGAAATTATGACACATCTCACCTTTATGTTAATATTGTTTTATTTGATGCACTCCACTTTGAACGGCACCAATCCAGCAACTGCTGCATTTTAATAACTAGTATTAAAGGTGAATACACCAATATTTGCACAAGAACAATTTTTGTTTTAAAGTCTCAGTGACACACTCTGCAGGGGGGGGGGGGGGGGGGGTTGGCATTTAATTTTTCTTGGCGTCCAGAAGAACATCTCCTTCTGCCCCCCTTTATTTGACTTTCTGCCCCCTTTATTTTGGTCCAAGATCATTACTGGGCTGGCCCTAATAAACACGTTCTACAACCCTGCTTAGTGACTTAATGAAGTATTTTAGCCAGTATAAAAATGACTGAAACATAAATTTCTTTGATTTAATGTATTTGTTAAGAACATCAAGATGCATTACAGTGAACATTATAACAAAGAGCATTTTTCTAGTGCAGAGAGGAGACAACCCATAGAAGCACTGATTTGATCTCATTTCAGAGAAAAATAGAACAGGTCAGATGCACCTAATAAATAAAATTACTAACATAAACTCAGGAATCTGTTTCTTTGCTTCACTGTTCTGGTGCTGAAAATATCACTCATGCAGATCAAAGGAGATACACAGATGAATGCACCTCTTGTTTATTATTTGGAAATTAGTGGGTGTGGTTTACATCAATACATTATTTTAAATTTGAAATTGATATGGATTGATCAGAAGTTACTATGTGTTGTTTATTTATAAACTGTTGTTTATTTGAAAACTATTTAAAGAGCAGCCTCAGAATAGAGATTAAATATTTTTGATCACAATAGTAAAACTATTACTGTGTGTGTGTGTGTGTGTGTGTGTGTGTGTGTGTGTGTGTGTGTGTGTGAGAGAGAGAGAGAGAGAGAGAGAGAGAGAGAGAGAGAGAGAATGTTAAGTGATGTGCATCTCTGTAATGAGAAGGGGTGTGGTCTAATGACATCAACACCCTATATCAGGTGTGCATAATTATTAGGCAACTTCCTTTCCTTTGGCAAAATGGGTCAAAAGAAGGACTTGACAGGCTCAGAAAAGTAAAAAATAGTGAGATATCTTGCAGAGGGATGTAGCAGTCTTAAAATTGTAAAGCTTCTGAAGCGTGATCATCAAACAATCAAGCGTTTCATTCAAAACAGTCAACAGGGTCGCAAGAAGCGTGTGGACAAACCAAGGTGCAAAATAACTGCCCATGAACTGAGAAAAGTCAAGCGTGCAGCTGCCAAGATGCCACTTGCCACCAGTTTGGCCATATTTCAGAGCTGCAACATCACTGGAGTGCCCAAAGGCACAAGGTGTGCAGTACTCAGAGACATGACCAAGGTAAGAAAGGCTGAAAGACGACCACCACTGAACAAGACACACAAGCTGACACATCAAGACTGGGCCAAGAAATATCTCAAGACTGATTTTTCTAAGGTTTTATGGACTGATGAAATGAGAGTGAGTCTTGATGGGCCAGATGGATGGGCCCGTGGCTGGACTGGTAAAGGGCAGAGAGCTCCAGTCCGACTCAGATGCCAGCAAGGTGGAGGTGGAGTACTGGTTTGGGCTGGTATCATCAAAGATGAGCTTGTGGGGCCTTTTCGGGTTGAGGATGGAGTCAAGCTCAACTCCCAGTCCTACTGCCAGTTTCTGGAAGACGCCTTCTTCAAGCAGTGGTACAGGAAGAAGTCTGCATCCTTCAAGAAAAACATGATTTTCATGCAGGACAATGCTCCATCACACGCGTCCAAGTACTCCACAGCGTGGCTGGCAAGAAAGGGTATAAAAGAAGAAAAACTAATGTCATGGCCTCCTTGTTCACCTGATCTGAACCCCATTGAGAACCTGTGGTCCATCATCAAATGTGAGATTTACAAGGAGGGAAAACCGTACACCTCTCTGAACAGTGTCTGGGAGGATGTGGTTGCTGCTGCACGCAATGTTGATGGTGAACAGATCAAAACACTGACAGAATCCATGGATGGCAGGCTTTGGAGTGTCCTTGCAAAGAAAGGTGGCTATATTGGTTGCTGATTTGTTTTTGTATTGTTCTTGAATGTCAGAAATGTATATTTGTGAATGTGGAGATGTTATATTGGTTTCACTGGTAAAAATAAATAATTGAAATGGGTACATATTTGTTTTTTGTTAAGTTGCCTAATAATTATGCACAGTAATAGTCACCTGCACACACAGATATCCCCCTAAAATAGCTAAAACTAAAAACAAACTAAAAACTACTTCCAAAAACATTCAGCTTTGATATTAACTAGTTGTTTGGGTTCATTGAGAACATGGTTGTTGTTCAATAATAAAATTATTCCTCAAAAATACAACTTGCCTAATAATTCTGCACTCCCTGTAGTCCGGAAAACACGGTATTTCTTCCCATTTTTTTCTACAGATCTAGAAGTGGATTCATCTGCATACTTTGTTGTTTATTTTTGTAAACTTTTTTTCTTCCCTCACCTCTTCGTTTCTTCTCCCCCTTTCTCTTTCATTTCTGTCCAACAACTGAAAATTATTCTAAAAACGTAAAGAAAAAAAAGAAAGATGCGTGGTGTACCATCGCATTGCTACACCTGCCGACTCCTCCTAGAACGTCATCCTCACTGCCATCCAATACATCAATGCATGCAATGTTTGACGCCGCTGCTGAATTAACCACTGTCATCCTAAAACTCACATAACTTTGCCTTATAGCTTGTTAACTTGCCCCACTTTCGGTCCACTCTGCTCCAGACCTCTTGTGTTCATTTTTTCTCCTGTTGAGAACACACAGCCTGGCGCCCTCTGCTGTTACGGGCGTGTAATGGTTAGACCCCGATGATAAGACGACCCCACATTTTAAAATTATTTTCAATGAAAAAAAAACCTTGTCTCATATTCGGGTCAATATCGTAATACCAGAGAAGGAGAAAAAGATGGCTGCTAGCACTTCAACTTTAGGACAAACTACTAGAGTCCCAAACAGAAAACTCCCTTTGAAGTCACGGAAAATTAAACACAACTGTTGTTTAGTACTGTCTCATTTACTGTGGGAATGTACATTCCCTTGTTGAGGGTGTGTGGCCTAAGGATGTTAGCTGATGGGGTGAGAGTTCAACTCTTCAGCTAGCTTGTTTTGCAGATTTACCATTGTAGCATTAAGGGTATACAATATAAAAGACAACGAGCATTCTAGGAACATTAACAACTGTTTTTATGTCAAGAACATCAGGGTTGATTTGCAACGAGAAATTTTGTCCTGTAAGATGTGGTGTTATCAATGATCCCTATCTGTGTGTGTGTGTGTGTGTGTGTGTGTGTGTGTGTCTCTTCTTACAGTGCTGCAGGCGTATCTGCTTCTTTTGGAGAGATGCTTTTACTGGTTGCCATGTACTTCCATAGCAACCAGCTCAGCTCCATTATTGAGTTGGTGTGCTCTACTTTAGGGATGAAGGTAAAATGGTGTGTGTGTGTGTGTGTGTGTGTGTGTGTGTGTGTGTGTGTGTGTGTGTGTGTGTGTGTGTGTGCGCGCGCGCGCGCCTTTAGGGTTGGGTGGGGTGCTTGTTAGACATAAAAATCACCACACACCAACCTACATGACCTCACGCACACACAGCATTAGTCCACCTGTGACTGAGTGGTGATGGTGGAGGTTTAAACTCTGCTGCTTCTGCCCTCTATCCTCTGTTGGTCTGGAGGAGATGAGGATCTGGAGCTGCCTGAGGGGCTCTGGAGCCATAGCAGAAATGAATGGGTGGGGATGGGTGCCTGCGATTTGGGGTATTGTCTGGAGGTCAAGGTTCTCGTCTCCATCCACCACCTTCACTATCCCCATGGCAGCTCCTCCCTCACCACATACATTAAAAACAACATAAAAAAAACACAAGCAAAACAACCCTCTTGGTGAGAAATCCACGTACCGACACCCATAAACGCATAACGATTCACACAAACGCATCTCAGACTAGGAGTGGGTTATTCACAATTTTTTTCCATTTCAACAATTCAGATGTTTTGGGAGTTATTCATCAGTTAAATACACCAATTTAAAAGCATCCTAAGTTTGAATACTGAGTTCAGCTCAGGTGATGGAGCGACTCATAATGGTAAGACTGCCTGAGTTTCTGCAGCTGAGAGCCATGTTAGGGGTTAGTGAGTCATGTAGTTTAGGGACCCGAAGTCTCCTTAATTTCTGGTCAGCTCGTGGGTCCCCAGAAGAATGACATAACGGATGCTAGTCAATGGGGCTAAAAGCGCTATTTTGTAATCCACTTTGCTTTACGCCCTGGATCGCTCATATGTTGTACTAGAATTTAAACGAAAATTAATGATGTGTGTTAAACCATGCCAGTCATGTACAAGACAAGACGGTTATTATTATTGTCAACTTTTTTACCGGGGTTTACCACTACACAGGTTCCCGTGACAACCCTATTAACCACATAAACATACCGTAAATCCTCTAATACAGGCCGGTATTCAATTAAAGGCCGGGTCTCCAATTTTGGTCTGAGTCGGCGGAGGTGAATGAAGGCCGATCTCTTATTGTGGCCGGGTGGAATGTGGTAACAAGCAAGTACAGGGGGCGTTGTGTCATCGTCTCACCTTTGATTTGCCAGTGATAGACCGCGAGGGTAACTTTAACCGTGCGGAGACGAAGAGGAGGCTGTGCCAGACCGTAGGTACTGACACGCGATCGTTCATGTCGGTTCATTTCCTTTACTGTTTTCTGTCTTTTATTTGCGCCTGATGTGTTTCGCTGCTGTGGAGCGGGGCACATCACCTTGTCCTCGGGTGACGCACCGATCACTGATGCGGCCGCCAAGCACGGAGCACTCCGCTGTTTTTGCGGTCGGTAGATCTGCCTCCTGAGCACGGCCACAGTAACAATCAGGTGTCGCCACCTCAAAAAATTATTTAACACGCGATCGTTCATGTCGGTTCATTTCCTTTGATGTTTTCTGTCTTTTATTTGCGCCTGATGCGTTTCGCTGTGGAGCGGGGCGCATCACCTTGTCATCCGGTGACGCACCGATCACTGATGCGGCCACCAAGCAGCGAGCACTCCGCTGTTTTTGCGGTCGGTAGATCTTTTAGAACTGCAGTTCAAAGGTAACTCATAAGATGAATATATATGAACCCAGGTAGCAGTTTTTCTTTAGGATTGAGAGGAGATGCAGGAAGATAATAAACAGACAGGACAGAAAAATAGTCAAATAAAAACAAGTTAGTTTTTGTACCTGTTGGTTGCAACAAACAGACACCATTGAAGGTAATCAGAAGTGAGGAACAGAAAATGAAATAATTATTTTAATGTTTAGAGCAGCAGGAACTCCGAGAGGCTGCAGGCGCATCAGTGAGTTTGCGGCCGCTGCGCAGGGGGAGGGGGGAGAGGGCTGAAGCAGAAACTACGTTGTTAAAAGAAATGTGTTTAACTTTGAAAATGTGGGCGCAATTTTAACTGTCAAAAACTCCAGCGAACCATTAGTTCATTTTGCTCAAATAGAAATTGAGGCCTGCCTCTAATACTGGCCCTCCTTCCAATAAAGGCCTGGAGCTTGATGAGCTTGAGTCAAATACAGGCCCGGGCCTGTATTAGAGGATTTACGATATTCTATAAGATTTAGACGCACGCATGCATGAGCACACACATATGCACACACAAACACATGTGCGCGCACACATACACACAGGTTAGAAACAAAAAGAAAAATATGAAAGGATGAAATTACACAATACCAGCTGCTGCCTGTAGGTTGTTTTCACTCTTATAGGCCTACCACTCTGCTTCTCATTGTTGTTTTTTCTGCTGCGTGTTTAACTTCTTACAGATAGCCATCAAGCCCGGTTCTCTCAGCAAGATGAAGACCATCTTTACTCAGGAGATTTTCACTGAACAGGTAGAGCATCCTTCCACCAAAAACTATTTGTATTTTTATGCACCTGGCTGTGCAAACAAGTCATTTTTGTGTATAGATATATTTTTTAATTTATTTATTTTTTTCCCATTAATTACAGCAATGACATTGACTAATCAAACTGAATTTTGAAGGGTTAAAATTCTCTAAATGACTGAAGGTTTTATAGATTTGATCAGGACTGAAGTTGTTTAACATAAATAATATGAATGTATACGTTTTTATAGCCACTTTTATGAGCGGACATTTTTGTCCTCTGGTCACAATAAATTGACTCCTGGGGGTTAATGCGGTACTCAGAACATCAGATGTTATTCTGGTTCAGTCAAGGGGCAACAATTATCTGATCACATCTATTTGCAATGAACTCACCTGATTATTTGTAATGTTGTGGTTTAGGTCGTTACAGCTCATGCAGTGAGGGTTGCCGTGACCAACAATTTAAGTGCCAACATCTCAGGATTTCTGCCAATTCATTGTATCTACCAGTTGCTTCGGAGCCGGGCCTTCACCAAGCACAAAGTATCCATCAAGGTATGTCAGACTATTTCATCCTCTATCCATTAACTTTGTCCAGTGTACTGTAGTTATAATAATACACTGCCTGCCCAAAAATAGTAAGTACTGTTTATTTGTAGCACCTTTCTCAGAAAGAATCACAAAGCGCTTAACACAAAGTAATAAAACATAAGCCATAAATATATGTAATAAAACATAATGCCATAGAAAGTGGCTACCATAAAATGAAAAATAAACACAAACCAATGAAGCAAAAAAGCATAAATTGAAAGTTTTAAATCAATAAAAATCAACTTAATCAATAAAATGCCTGAGTGAATAGATGTGTCTTCAGCAGACAACACAAATAAGCTATGTTCATAAACATGTAGGACTTGTGCTGGAAGCAGACAGCAGTGCCAGGTGTGTCGGCTCGATTTATTTCTAAATCTATCAGTTAGAGGTGTGAACAAGTCACTGCTTTGCAAGTCGCTAGTAAGTCACAAGTTTTTCCAGTCAAGTCCAAGTCAAAGACTACCAAGCCCCAGTGGAGTCCAAAGTCAATAATGTGGAAGTCGAGTCCAAGTACTTAACTTTAAATTTTCAAGTCATAATCAAGTCATCTGTCCCAACTTCAATTTAATGATAATGGTAAATAAATTCCAGAATAAAGCTTCTTAAAGCTTAATTTATTTGCCCAAACAAGCAGAAAGTGCTGCTGCATTTATGATTTTTGTCCATGTCGTGCCACTTTTGTGCTAAAATATCAAATATGCTCAACATCATCTAATGCCACACGTAAAGAAGAAGTAACATTATGAAGTAGATGATCAATTTGTGAAGGGCTAGAAATGAAAATATTGCCCTCTGCTGCGTTCCTCTGAGATGCTGAAGACCATAAAGATGGAACAGTTGATGTAAAAGTTGTAATAGTTATCCAATAGAAGCTCATACCTATTTGCTTAATTAAATCCAGGTGGTGGCTTATTTTTCTGGCTGGGTCGTGTTTTATTCTCTGCATGCTCCTGAGAAAAGTGACAAGATGAACCCTATAGCCAATTACATTAACCTTACTTTGTGGGGTTGTCCCACTTTTTCAGGACTGGATTTATCGTCAGCTCTGTGAGACAACTACACCCATCCATACTCAGCTGATTCCTCTAATCGATGCTTACATCAACTCCATCCTCACTCCAGCATCCAAGGCCAATCCTGAGGCTACAAACCAGCCCATCACTGAGCAGGAGATCCTCCGTGTCTTCCAGAGCTCTGCAGGAGTGAGTCATTCTTTGATTATCCAGGAGATTGTTAAAGTACCAGACTGAAGCACCTGGCTGAGTCATCATGCTGAAGCCTCATGTTTGAGCTGTACCTTTTCTGTTTGCTAGCAGGCAGACAGCAGCCGAGGAGGACGCCAGCGCTACTCCATCACCACACAACTTCTGATCCTGTACTACATCCTGTCTTATGAGGAGAACCTGCTGGCTAGCACCAAACAGCTTGGTGAGAGAATGACCATCTAAATGAAAACACCTCCCTACTGTGGAGATGACTCACCACCTCTGCTCCTCTTACTTGATTATAATTTCTTTCTCTGAGAATGCTCTGTTAGTTTGATTTCCACCAGGCAGCAACAAGAGGAAGGAAGCTGTTTTCTACTACTACTACTACTACTATTACTACTACTACTACTACTACTACTACTGCCTTTAAGCAGTCATTCACCCTTTACTTTCTTGGCACTGAATGCTGGCTGCTTCCTAAGGAATAAATGGGAGCTGAACAAGGCAGCAATGAAAGCACGGCCAACTAGGACGCATGTAGGTTAGAGGGAGCAGTAGGCTGAACGATCTGAGGTTTTTTGATCAAAGTTGCCATAACAATGTAATCATTTAATCGTCATAGCTGTAGTTTTTGCAGCTCTTCTGACTAACCCAGGAACTGTTGTGTTGCACATACTGGGTTTTTCCATCAACATATATACTGGACAAATTGTGTCCATAGGCTGGAATTATAAGTTTTTGATATAAAACGGGAGGTTCCTACTACCGCCATTGTGACCTTTGCTAACCCAAGAAGCCAAGAAAGGGCTCCAGGGTAGCCAACCCGCGCAGACGCTTGGCTTCCATGCAAAGGCTGTAGTCATGCTAGTCACATGTGGAGCTATAATATGCACAGTTAAAATACAAGCAGAGCCTCAGACCACTGCGATCATTGCCAGGCACCCTGGCCGCTTAGATGAGGTCATGCTCTGCCTCGGTCGGAGCTCAGCGGGAGCTTCATGCTAACTCAGGGTAACGGAGGTTTTTCGGGCGCATTTAACAAGAGAAACGTGGTAAAGTGACTCAAAAATAAACTTTAAAGAGCAGCAGTGTTTCTGTAATCTCCACACTGGCCAAATGTGTGAAGCTCTCTATTTGATTTGTCCAAAACAATGCTTCCATTCATTAACAAAATGCATTATGTGTGGCAAACGTTTGAGCTGACCAGTCATTGCGTATTTTCTGTTCTTTGCCATATGCATATTGCGCATGTCGATATCACGATGGTACGTTTGCGACTTATTGTTCAGCCCTACTAAGGCTGTAGTCATAGGTTTACCACATGCCGAGATGTCCGAATCGATCGTGAGGTTCTCAGTACCTTCTTGGGAACCACAATCTGAAAAACATGGGAAACATGTTTTTTTCATAATAAATAATCCTGAAAGCAATTCTTACTTTCAGTTCATTCTTTCAATATTAGAGTACTAGTTGTTAATGTTTGGATTAAATGATGTCATTTATAGTCATGTTTGTAGATATTACTGAAGAAAATCATGAATCAAATCACTATTTCTGCCAGAAAAAAAATCACAATGATATCTTTCCCTAAAATTCTTCAGCCCAAGCACCGACCTACCTAGCAGCTATACACACTCCTCTCTCCTTCATTATTTCATATTCATGCCATCTCTTTAGTGTCTTTGTTTACCCGAGTGCTCCCCAAGAAAACCACTCCATACTCAGTCGTTCTTCTTTATACGCATTCTGGTTATGGTCTGTCTGACACAACCTTGTATCTGGTCTTTGTAGCACTAATGAAGAGGAAGCCAAAGTCCTACTCAGCAGCTCTGATGGACCAAATCCCCATTAAGTACCTGGTGACCCAGGCCCAGGGGCTGCAGCAGGAGCTGGGGGGTGAGGTTAAAACTCTCACCCACATTAGTTGGTTCAAATGAGAAAGAAGAACCTAAATCTGAATAACGTTGTGTGGTTTCAGGTTTGCACTCAGCTCTACTAAGACTACTTGCCACTAACTACCCCCACCTGTGTCTGGTGGAAGACTGGGTGTGTGAGGAGGAGGTGACTGGTACCTTGCCTCTGCTGAGGAGGATGATGCTTCCCTTCATTGCCCGCAGATACACCCAGAACCAGCTTCACCAGGGTATGACGGAAACAGCATCAGCTCTGGTTCAATGAGCTGTTTCCACTGGTTGTGACTCATTTTAGACACTAAAGAATTGGATATAAAGCTACTGATATTCAGAGAAGATGAGTCCAGATCTGTTCTGTTTTCTCTAATCCAGCTTTCCAGAAGTTGCCCTCCAGCAGTCCCAGGCTCATGCGGATCCTGGAGTATCTAACGCTGCTCTCACCTGGAGACCTCATCCCCTATGCTGAGGCTCTCACAGCCAGCATGTCCCTGCTTCTGCAGCCCGCTGTGCCTCGGCGCCTGATCCAGACCCTCAACAAGCTGTGGATGGGCCTCAACACGGTGATGCCCCGCAGGTATGTGCTCTGGATACAAGGAGATGTTTCTTAGTGCAGCGGCCCGAGGATTTTCAATAAATACATTTGTAACCCCTTGACAAAAGCTTGCGCTAATCTGATTTATAACCAGTAGATGGAATAACTAGTAACCAAAACTAAGTTCAACAAAGGAGTCAATAACCAGTATGGGCAAAAAGTCAACTGATAAGAGGGGTTTTCATTCAAAGTGTATTTTGAATATTCACAAGGTGAAACAGTTTACATCAAATAAGCAGTGATATATTTACAAAAAACATTATAACCAATAGACCGTCCATCAGTTCCTTGAAGAGTTTCAGACTTCATCTGCATGAACAAGGGCTCGTTTCCTTGTGACATCAATCCAGGGTTCCACAGTTCAATTGGTTCAAGGGTGGCTCGCCATCCAAGGAAAATTCAAGACGGTGATTGGGATGAACTGAATGTAAAGGGAAAAGGAAAATAAATCCACACAAAAACCTGACCTAAAACAAAAGCCAGAAAGGGAAATTATTAATTCTACATATTTACATATGTACAAAATATCACAAATCATTCAGGTTCTCCACAGAATTTCCAGGAGGTCCACATTCACATTTTTCTTAATTACGTAATTATGTTTGTTTCACTCAATTTGATTAATTGCTCAGCTGAGCTTCCCCACACAGGAAACAAGTGCTTAGGTCAAATATCTTTGGACAGGACTTATGTGAAAACAATAAACCACATTCTGTCCAACATCTCAAGACACTAAAAATATTCCAAGCAACACTGGATCATGCAGCTAATCAGTGTAGATAAATGAATATGTTTACTCACCGATGAGTAGAAACACATACACAAACTTTGGCCTCGATTAGGCAAAAAGGGAGGATCTATGACGGTAAGTATAACATTAGAAAATAAAACAAGTAAATTGGCTCCATCGGTAACTGAGGAAGATGAAAGTGCAGCTTACCAACACTCCTGTAACTTTGCCAAAGTGCTACCCTTTTAAAATGGTACGGTTCAGTTTCTTCCTCTCAGAACAGTGAATCAACTGCACCCTCAGGTAAGCTGAATTGAAGGTTTTAGCAAGCACTGAAGACTGGCAGAGAAGACCAAACCCTGAAGCAACAGTGACTGTGATTCATCACTCCACCTGGAGCAACAACAGCTGGCTCATTAGCAGGTCAGCATTCCTCTTAAAGGGGAAAGTCCACAAACTGGGGAGCTCCCTCCAGATGCGTCAATCACATGGGTTACACTCTCCCCCCTTTTCCACAGGTCCGTCCTCTAACTCAAACCAGGTAACATATAGCTCTTGTCCTGCAGGATGGCCGTAAAGGCTGAACTCAGGCCGTGGAGCAGATTTTGGACACTGTCCAGCGGGGGTTTCCCAGGGAGGGAGTACTGTAGCCGTTCTGGTGGGTTGCCTGGAACGAGTGGATCAACGAAGTGTCGGTTCAATTTCAGGACTGTCATGGTCTGCAGGCACTATCAGATCCCGTTCCAAGGTGGCAATAACTGGTTCATAAGTTTTAATTGGAGAGGACCTTTTATCTGATGTAGAATTCTCAAGGGATGCAGTTTCCATGACAACTCCTCCCTGACCCTCCTCCACTGCATCTGTTTCCACTGGAAACTCCCCTGTCACCAGCTCCTTTACAGCAGTCCCGGGATCTGATAACACGGTGGGTAAAGGACAAGGCACAGTCAATGGGACATCAGGGGAGACAGATGGTTGAACAGGGACAACAATGACGGTGGTGAATCGCTGTGGCTCCATTGGAGCAGAAATAGGTATCAAGACCCCTTGATCATCCAACTCATTGACTGTAGTCTCAGGATTAGCTGAAGAAGAAGAGACAATGGTAGCCCTCCTGCCCTCCCTCACAGCTTGTGATGGCTCAGGTGGAAACAGGAACCCACAGGGAAGGAGGAGGTCTCTGTGCAGAGTCCTGAGTGGGGTAGCTTTACTTTCAGGCTTTACAGTATACACAGGTAAGTTGCTGGCTTTCTTTACCACAATGTACACCGTCGACTCCCACTTGTCTGCTAGCTTTTGTCGTCCCCTTTTCCGAACGTTCTTCACCAGAACTCTGTCTCCCTCATTCAGTTCTCGGGGTGTAACATGTTGGTTGAATCTGTTACTATCCATCGATTTTTGAACATTGTTCTTGGCCAACCGGTATCCTTCCTCCAAATGGGCTTTCAGCTCCTGGATGTATTGGGAGTGATTTACAGGACCGTTACCCATCGGCAACCCAAACGCCAGATCCACAGGGAGTCTAGGCTGGCAGCCAAACATGAGTTCATAAGGGGAATAACCGGTGGCATCGTTTCTAGTGCAGTTATAGGCATGTCCCAGGGGTTTGACATACCCTTTCCAATGGTGTTTTTGTTCATCATTCAAAGTCCCAAGCATGTCTAGTAAGGTCCTGTTAAAACGCTCTACTGGGTTTCCTCTGGGATGATATGGAGTAGTATGAGTTTTGTGAATACCCACCATCTGACATAGATCTTTAATAACCTTGGTTTCAAAGTCTGGGCCTTGGTCGCTTTGAAGATTTCAGGGAACCCATAGTGGACCAAGAAATTATCCCATAGACATTTAGCCTTGTTCTTGCCTTTTGGTTCGGTGTTGGCACAGCAATGGCGTACTTGGCGACATGGTCAGTCATAACTTGAATATCTTTGGTACGCCCATCTGGTTCTAATGACAAGAAATCCATGCAGATCAGTTCTAATGGCCTGAATGTATGGATGTTAACAAAGGGGAAAGTCCACTAACTGAGGAGCTTCCTCCAGGTGCGTCAGTCACATGGGTTACACATTTCTGGAGTCAAAAACAATGGCCTCAGTCTTAGTCTAAGTTGGCTGCCAACCACCCCTTCACATCAGAGAGTCAATCTGTGAGCAATAAATCTGTGTTTAGTGCATTCTTCACCAAGTATGTTTGACAATCATCAACTTAAATATGGTAGCCTATGCCATACCCCTCAAGAAGATAGATGGGGAACAGAAGGGGCCCCAGGACAGAACCCTGCGGCACCCAGTCAGCACACAAAATAACCAGTTTGCCAAATAAGAATGGAACCAACACAATGTAGGACCAGAAAGACCGACCCTGTATTTTAGACTATCTAATAGGATTTTGGGGTCAAATGTATCAAAAGCTGCTGAGAGATCTAATAGCAGCAGCAAAACATAGGGCCCTGAATCAGATGCAACCAAAATGTCATTCTGCACACCGATCAGAGTGGACTCGGTGCTGTTGTGTAGTCTGAACGTAGATTGAAACATATGGGTCTTAATCTGTGAATGATCAACTTGTTCCAGGACCTTAACAGGAATGGAACTTTCAAAAGTTCACAAGTTTTCAAAATCTGAACGATCCAAACCAGTAGAGATGCCTGAAAACACTTATTCATGTCCGAATCGCGATTCCTACTAATAAAGATGCACAATTTATTCATAAAACTCAAAAATCGATCCTGTTGGAAAGACTTTATGTAAGCTGCCATATTTCTGAGTATCCCTGAACACCTCTTTGCTGGAGCCAGTGCTAGCATTAGTTGCTTGCTCTGTGTGCTCCTGTGCATTTTTGTTGAAATACGATAGACTTACCTTTCTCATTATTCATTATAATTATTCATTATATGTAATATATTGAGTAAGTTTAATAATGTGTTAGTCTTGTGTAAAGTGATAAATGTTACTGGTTTATGCGAATACATACATGCTTCTGCGTGTTATAAAACTTGTTTATTAGTATACAGTGTTTCACATATAGTGTGTGTGTGTGTGTGTGTGTGTGTGTGTGTGTGTGTGTGTGTGTGTGTGTGTGTGTGTGTGTGTGTGTGTGTGTGTGTGAATTCAAATGTGTAAGGAGTATGTACAATACAAATAAACTAGAACTTCATATAAGAAGTAGTCACCTTAAAAAAATACATGAAATGGATTAAGGTGGGGAATATTAACCCAAGGGAAGCATTACCTTAAATTCCTCTGCACCTTTGTGAACTACAATGAACTTCACTGTCTTTTCATTGTTTTATTATTTTTGATTTACAAAATCAGATAAAGTACACCAAAGAAAATTCCACAAACCAAAAACTGAATTACACATTCTGCTATTAGTGTAAAATAATCTAGTTCAGCTCTGAAGAGCCTAGATTAACCTTGTAGTTTCTGGGCTGGACCAGTTCTAATGTGATGCAAATGCAGAAAATGTGCTGAAATAGGCCTTAATTGGGCTTTCACAAATCTGATGAAGGTCTTCTAAATCGCACACTGGTTTTTAGGATACTGCTATCTATGTAGAATATTTGACTCCAGGTTTTAGTTGTTTTGAAATGAGAGTGAATTAAAAAGGGTTGGGGGTAAAAAAATTTGTTGAAATTCCCTTCATCAATTTTTCCACCTCAGTAGATAAAAGTTGAACTACAGTGGTTGTAAACTCATATTACTACTTAAATAGGGTTCATTTAATAATGTTAGGACACCCTTGTGTTGAAAAACAATGTGGAATAGAAGTAAAATCAATAAATTACGAAAGTTTAGTTGTAATTGTATTGTGTTTCGTGGCCGTTATAAATCTAATTTAAATAGAAATCAAAAACATGGTTGGAAGCTGGAAATAGCGCCCTCTTCAGTTCTGGAAAGAAATTGCACCATTTCCATATATGATATAGTTTGGCCATATCCCATGCCCTGCCCCGTGCTAGAAGTTGCAGCCAAGTGTACTTGAATTTATGAGCCATTCATATGGACGTGTACTAAATCCTGTCCATCATCCCTCAAGTCGACCCTGATGTCTTTTGATGGTTTTGACCTACCCAGGTTTTATTGAAGGTCACTAAGCTCAGAATGTTAATCAAAAAGTGATCTTGAGATGGATTATTGCAACTCATTGTTCTCTCCTAACCTAAAGTACTGTTGATCCAGAACCCAGGAACCAACCGATCCAGCTCCCCTCCTCTGCTTTCATGTTCCTGTTACCTCAAGATACTTTGAATTAACTTTGTTTACCCATATTTCAGTGTGTAAAGCATGAGGACTTGTTTCAGATTGTGGGTGATGACTGTAAACGCCCTCCAACCATCAGCCACTCTGCAGCAACAGCAGACCTGCACCCAGAACGACCTGATGATTGATCCTCTGATTGTGCTGCGCTGTGACCAGAGGGTGTACAGGTAACCAGACTGGCTACAAGCTCAAACAAAGCTAAATACACATATCAGGAAATATGGTCATATCTTATATCATACATTACCAGATGGCTTCATCAGAATGTGATTTCCAGGTTTTACTCGAGCGGTTTGTAGCAGAGTTTGAAGCAGCTGGGATGAGAGTCAGCTCCTCTAAATCTGAGACCATGGTCTTGAGTCGGAAAAGGGTAGAATGCCTTCTCCGTGTCAGGGATGAGGTCCTGCCCCAAGTGGAGGAGTTTAAGTATCTCAAGGTCTTGTTCACGAGTGAGGGAAAGATGGACTGCAAGATCCACAGGCATATTGGCGCTGCGTCTTCAGTAATGCAGACATTGTACTGATCTGTCGTGGTGGAGAGAGCGGAGCCAGAAGGCAAAGCTCTCAATTTACCGTTCGATCTACGTTCCTGCCCTCACCTCTGGTCAAGAGCTTTGGGTAGTGACCGAAAGAATGAGATACAAGCGGCCGAAATTATTTATTTTCCGCATGTTGGCTGGCCTCTCCCTTAGAGATAGGGTGAGAAGCTCGGTTGAGCCTGTACAATTGTTCCACTGAAAAATCTGGTTTGATTCCCCATAGGATGGTAATTTAGCATGAGCTGTGAGCTTTGGACGAAGCTCTGGCGGAACTGGCTAAAACAGGAAGTGAGTTCACTTTTAATGAAATGGTTGTTTGTAAACTTTGACCAACCTGATCTGAGAAGTGTGTATAGGCGTTTACCAAGACACTCAGGCACTGCCCTTTCTGTGATGCTTAGAAAGCTCATTTCATTTAGTATATGGAGCAAATCTGTTACACATTCATTTATTAATACACTGATATCATTATGTGAATGCAACTGATAATTAAATGATCATCAAGACTCATTTAGTGTATTTAAGATCTGAAATAAATCAGGAACCCCAGAGGAAGAAGCAGGAATAATTCAGAACATACCAGGGTATTTTTGTATTGTTTTAAGTTTATGATGTATAAAAATAAAATAATATAGAGCATGAAGGGATAAACAAAATGACTTGCTATTTAGATGACTAAATAAGAACAAATAAACTCATCTTGTTCTTAGGTGTCCTCCCCTGATGGACATCGTCCTTCACATGCTTAATGGGTACCTGCTGGCCTCCAAAGCCTATCTGCAGAGTCACCTGAAGGAGACGGCCGACTTTGAGCGACAGAGCCAGACTGTCTCTAGTGTGACGGGATCGGGTCAGCTGGACACACCTGAGGTCACCAGGGAGGAGCTAAAGAACGCCCTTCTAGCTGCTCAGGTGTGACGGTACACACCTGATCTCATCCATTGTCCACAATAATCTCCTTAGACCAGGAAAGAACAAGTAATGATACTGATTTTACCCACTTCTAAGCACCTATCCCTCCTAACCTGCAGGACAGTGCAGCCGTCCAGATTCTCCTAGAGTTGTGCTTGCCCACCTCTGATGAGCAGCAGTCCGGAGGTTCATCAGAAAGCCTTTGGAGAAGCAATTGGGGCTCGATGCTGAAGACACCCAAACCAACAAGTCTGAGTCCATCGGCCTGTATGGGTGTAGAGGATGCAGAGCCACAAGGAGGCCTGCTCAGTGACTTGAGGGAGGTGCAGTGTCTCATTTGTTGTCTCCTGCATCAGATGTTCATCGCTGACCCCAACATCGCTAAATTGATTCACTTTCAGGTAAATGAACTTTCTAAAGACCTGCATGTCACCACTGCCTAAAAATCCACTTGTAAAGGTGAAAGGTCAGCATGCTCCATGGCTGCTGCTTCTGCTGATACCAAACAGTAATGTGGAGGAGTGGCTGACACCTGAAGGGTCAGCCAGCACTAAACCGGTCAAATCAGCGCATCAGTTCAGTTGCAAACACAACACAGGGTCATGTGATGTGTCTGCTGCCGCCGCTCCCCTCTGAGTCCCTCCCTCTGTCGCTTTAAAGATACTTTTGTGGCATGGCCTTCTCCCATCGTTGATGTTTTCTAGTTTTATTGCTGTTCTTGTTGTGTTTCACAGTGTTTTTATCCTTGCACTGTTTTTAAATGTGCTTCATAAATAAATGGTATCGGCACACTCCTTGATCACTCGTCCTAGTCGGCAGCTTTTCCTCTCTTCTTGTTCCTGGAGGGGTGACAGTTGTGAGTTATTATTGTGTTTATGTATTTCAGAGACATTGTAACACATTTGTCCGTCATTCTCCACCACTTAAAGCACTTACCACCTCTAAACCCACGTTTGTCATCATTTCCATCCATAAGCATATCATTGTACTGCTTCAGTCATGGATGTGTACATGTTTATGTTTTTTGCTAGACTGTCTTCAGTTTTATGCTCGTCTGTCACTGGATATCTTTGACACTTGTGGTATTTTTTGATGGGGTAATGTTGGTGCTGTTGACAAAGTAAAAGGAAGCGGCGTTCTGACCACAAGTCTGTCACTTTGGAGGCACAGTTAAAAATTAGGAATGTCTCCATCCCCCTGATCATGCTCACAGAGCCCTTGCATTGACACATCATGGTGTTGCGTGTCTCCATTCCCACGCGGAAGGAGACATATAAATCAGGCTTAACTCTGCTCCTCCCACCCCCAGGGCTACCCTCAGGCTCTGCTGCCTCTCACCGTAGCAGGAATCCCCTCCATTCACATCTGTTTGGACTTCATCCCTGAACTTCTAGCCCAGCCCCAGCTGGAGAAGCAGGTGAGGCCTCCTCTAAACTGAACCAGAACCTCATACCAGTTCTCTCAGCTGAATGATGCATATGGTAACATAATTAATAATGGTGCTCTTTGCTTGTGTGGTCCCACAGATCTTTGCCATACAGCTGCTGTCACACCTGTGTACCCAGTACGCCTTACCCAAATCTCTGAGTGTGGCCCGATTGGCCATTAGTGTCATGGGAACTCTGCTAACAGGTCAGCTGATGTCTTTTCCCGAGACATTATGACGGCTTCCTTTTATATTCTGATTCCCAGTTCTTAGACCATTAGATAAAGTCCAGAACAGCAGCTGTTAGTCTACACACATACATACTTCCTTTCTTGTTTCGATTCCGGTGCCTATCGATTTCCAGTGGCAGGATCCAAAAACATCACATTTTTAAAGAGCCAGCTAGCCACAGGTCTTACGTGAGGAAATAATCCTCAGTGTGAATTTTAATTCTATGAAATAGCATCACCTTCATTTAGAATAGATACACAACCAGTGTGTTTTTTTCTGACCACAATCAAATTATGGGAGAGGCCTCCACGATGAGAGGCCAAATGTATTCCGCAAAACCAGAAAAGTCCAGCAGCTTTCAGTTAAAACCATCCGGATGAGAACCTACACCTACATGCTGCAGCAACCATTCAGTCAGACTGGAGAAGCTTAAATGTAGCTGCTGTCAGCAACAATCTAACAGATTTAAAACAATAAAACTCTACAGACTAAATAGTTATATAGCAGTGCTGCTCTCAGGGTCTCTGCAGAGTCGGAGCTGGTGTGATCAGCTCTGAAAGGCGTCGATCAGATTCTCTTCATGCGGAATTGAAAAAAGAACTTTGAATGATTCCTGTAAAAACTGACAGTTAAGGTTGGTTTATGCTTGGTCCGCGAGGTCATCATCTCAACAACAGCATCATTTTAACAACCACGCCCCTCCACCGCGCCTTCGCACGGCCCAAATTTTTTCCGCACCGCGCACCTAAGAAAATTTCTAACCACGCAGACGGTCGGACGTGGAAAAACATGGCGGACAGGCAAGAATTAGTATGGCAGAGGTTCGTAAATACAGACATTTGTATGATTCAGCTCTCAGAGATCACCGTGATCAACATGTTGTTAATAATTCTTGGAGAGAAATAGCTCGCACTGTCGGAAAAGACGAGGACGCTGTTAAAAAATGCTGGAATGCCATGTTGTAAACAGTATTTTCTACTTCTACTATGGTGTAGTGTTGGATGCATGCCGTAGAGCTCCATGCTGCCCCCTACAGTTTGGGAGAATATTGGCTCACCGCAGAGACAAGCCGCACGAACCATAAACGCTGCAAATTGTGAAGTGCGTTCCATCTACGAGCCGCATCACCAAGCGGAAAGTGAATGCGTCAAGCATAAACCAAGCTTTATGCCCCACCTGACTAGCCCATCCACCACTGAGCGCGTGCAAACATCCTGATGTGTGTGTTCTGCTTCCTAGTGCTGAGCCGGGCCAAGCGTTACTCCTTCTTCATGCCAACCCTGCCATGCTTGGTGGCGTTCTGCCAGGCCTTCCCTCCTCTCTACGACGACGTAGCAGCTCTGTTGGTGCAGGTGGGCCAGGTTTGTGCTTCTGATGTGGCCACCAAAGCCAGGGACGTTGATCCTTTTATTGCCCGTGAGTACAACTATTAAAGTTATTACTGTTACATTCCAGCTTCCTGCACAGCCCTTATCTACTGATAGTTCCTACCAACACTTCTGAAATGTGATCCTAACCAGAACCCGAATGGCTCTTTGGAGAGTGCATGTAAACTAGTCAGCATTAAAGTGACAATAGAATAGCATTCATTTCTAATAAACATTTTTGAACCTTCATTAAGCCTATGAAACTTTGTTGGTGCTCAGACTGGACCCCCCACTCTCTGCCACTCACTCAGCCAGGACGTGAATATTAAATTATGTATGTGGATTATTTCTTTGATCTGATGGCACCATCTAGTGGCTGACACGTGTCACACCAAGACGTTTCATTTCTGTTTACAGCAGACAGCAACACATCTTGTTCATGAATGTGCTCCTCTAGCCAACAAAACAGAGCTAAAGCACATTGTTTTACAATTCTTACTCTCATGTTATGTTGTGTATTCATATTTTAAAGACCTACTTGGGCATTTTAACACATAACCCATGGCTAAGTTATTACCACGTGCTTTTCAGCTAAAATTGTTACTGTTATATATCCTCATTCAAATTAAATTAAAGTTTATTTATAAAGCGCCAAATCAGGACCAGAGTCGTCTCAAGGACCATCACATAGTAAACATTACAATACAGGTCAGGTCATTAAGCCAATCAGTAAATGTTTCCTATATAAGGAACCCAGCAGGTTGCATCAAGTCACTGACTAGTGTCAGAGTCTTTACAGCAATCCTCATACTAAGCAAGCATTTAGCGACAGTGGAGAGGAAAACTCCTTTTTAACAGGAAGAAACCTCCAGAGGATCCTGGCTCAGTATAAGCAGCCGTCCACCACGACTCACTGGGGATGGAGAAGAGACAGACACACACACACACACACACACACACACACACACACACACACACACACACACACACACACACACACACACACACACACACACACACACACACACACACACACACACACACACTCGTGCAGTTTGTCGCAGTGATATTTTTGTTCTGTTGTAGTTTTGTGTGCCCCCCTTTCTTCTCTCTTTTTCTGCAGGTCCAGAAGCAGATTATTTTACATCCTTTATTGTTTATCTTTGTGATCATTTTTTTACAACCTCTTCCTTATCCCCCCCCCCCCAACCCCACCCCCCTTTCTCTTTCATTTATGTCTCTGTGTCCCAGTGTTTGCGAAAACTTTTGAACCATTGTCGGTACCAGATCGACTCGGGGTTCTGCATCTGCAAATTACGTCACAGTAGATGATTGAACGTTGATCTCCTTGACAAAGTTATCAGGAACTACTGATTTTGTTTAATAAATGATAAATGACCCGCACTTGTATAGCGCCTCTCAGAGTAAGGACTCCAAAGCGCTTTACACTACAGTGTATCATTCATCCAGTCACACACACATTCACACACTGATGGTGATGAGCTACGATGTAGCCACAGCTGCCCTGGGGCGCACTCTTTATTTGCCACTTTATTCCCCATGTGGCTTTTATTTGACCTTTATTCTTATTCAGTTGTTCACCATAGTAAATTAGTTTTTGTTTCCTAATTATTGTTGTTAATTATTGTTTATATTTATCTTCAGCTTCTTTTGTTTGCAGTTTTAAGAAACATGTATACATTTTATTTTTCTTTGCTCAAGCGTTTTTTTATCCCCTTAGTCATCCATGGCTGTTTTTCCTTTTACCATTACTTTTTATTACCTGGTGCTGGTGCACACCTTGTGGTGCAATAAACAGACATGAAAAAATATGTTAAGTAAGGGCATGTCCCCTACGGAGGAAAATTTTGGACATTTTATATTTAAAAGCATCAGTCTGGCATTATAAAACACTCCTTGTTCCCTCCTCTCCATGATTGATGTCAAGTTGTTGTTTGCCTCAAGGGCAACATGCCGATTATCACTTGTAAGTCGCTTTGGACAAAAGCGTCTGCTAAATACATAAACATAATATATTTGATTGATTCTTTATCCTTTCCTGTCTTCAATCCATTTTGAATGCCAACTACAGCAAAATCTTCTGATGCATCCATGCTGCTCAGTTCCAGAACTGCGTCATGTCACCAGTTACTAAAATCAGTGGCAAAGATGCTGTTGAACGTGTGAGCGTGCAGAACTTGCAAAACTACATGACTCAATTTAAGGAACAAAATAGAATCCAGCTGCTTTTATTTATTTGTTGTGGATGTTTATAGGAACTTGGGCTTCACAATATATCGCAAATATATCGTTATTGCGATATTAGCATGCGCAATATGTATATCGCAAAGAACAGATAAATATCGCAATGAATGGTCAGCTCAGATGTTTGCTACACATAATGCATTCTTTCAATCAAAGGGAAGCATGATGCTTTTCTCAATAAAGCAAATAGAGCTCTAACCATTTGGCCAGTTGGGTGGGTTCTCAGAGGTTGGATGTCCGCCCCCGAGGCGGACGGCACTTAATTTTGATGGTTAGCAAACACCTGCGTTAGCTTTGTTCTGCGCTTTCTGCTGATTCTGCTTTTCCTGGGATCCACTGCTTGACTTTTCTTGTTCATTTTCTTTTTCCCTTTCCTCACATCTTTTGCTTTTCTCATTTTTATGAATTTTTTTTTTGTTGTCATTAAGCACACTTAATTTGACGTGGTTCTGATGTTGCACAATGGAGATAAATCTCAGAAACCAAAAAAAATTGGTTAACGGTCTGTATTTGATATAGCGCCTTCTAGGACCCTGTAACCCCACAAGGTGCTTTAAAACAAAATGAGTCATTCACCCATTCACACACATTTACACCCTGGTGGTGATAAACTACATTGTAGCCACAAAAGCCCAAGGGCACACTGACTGAGGCAAGTCTGCTGTACACAGGTCCCTCCAAACACCACAAGCAGGCAAAGTGGGTTATGTGTCTTGCCCATGGACACAACAACAGTGACATACTGAGCAGGGCTCGAACCTGCAACCTTCCAATTATGGGGCGAGCACTTAACTCCTGTGCCACCGTCGCCCCTCAAAAACTTCTCCAAGCTTGTGTTATTTGTGGAGATAAAACAAGTCAGGTGGTAGAGTCGAGTCGTTGTTATCCAGTCCCAAGCAAGATGTCCACATATGAAAAAATAAGACTCCAAATCCCGTCTGTTGCCACTTTCTGCGGCAACAGATTGGCCGGTGGCTTTTTTGCCCCAAGTATGGCTTGCAAGGTATTTATTCCTATCAGAGACTACTGCAAATGTATAGACTAGTTTTACACACCTTTAATGCTTTTTTTTTCTATTATTGTGGTTACTTACATTAAGACAATTTTCCATGTATATGGATAATAAAATTGTATCTAATCTGATGCACTTATAGAGTTATGTATATTTATATATTTGTCCTGATAACTAATTGCCATGTATTTCTCTGTCCTCTTAGGGTTACAGAATCTACAAGAAAAACCTGAGGAGGGTCCAGTTCCTGGAGCCTCATCTAAGCTGGTTCTACCTCAAAAAACAAAAGAGGACCTGGGCGGAGCAGACCCTGATGTCCAGCTCTGCTACTGCATTGAAGCCACCTTTGTAGACATCATCAGCTCTACGCTCCATGGACTTTAGATTAAGTACACGTGGGTTGGGTCTTGGGGCTACATGAATACATGTCTTAGAGTTTAAGATCCATTCAAATTGTGTAAAAAGGTTCTTGCTTCAGCAGACGTTCTAAACTTTCTCTACTGAGTCTAAAAAAAGACCTTCTGCCTACTTCAGTCATCATTTTGTATTTTTGCAAATCCTAAAGTTATTTTGTGTGTGTGTGTGTGTGTGTGTGTTTTCACCTAAAGGTCATTTTTTTCATCCCAGCAGTGACAGTTTTCTAAGATGTGATGTAACATTTTTATTCTCAAACTGTGAAATAGAAAAATGAATTGAAACATGTTTTTTCTTGTAATAAAACAATACCATACCATACCATACCATTTTATTTATAAAGCGCATTCAACATGGCATTACAACCAGACAAGGCGCTGTACATTAAAAGATTACAGTTAAATTAACACGTTCAGAATGACATTTAAAGCATAGTTTATAAGAAAAAATGAAAACAAGAAAATACTCGAACTAACAGTCGTAAAACACTAAAAACGCAAAGGAATGTGAAACAACAGATAAAAACATATGAAAGAACCACAGTAATACAGATGTTAATTATTGTGCATTCTATTGTAGAAAGAATGCAGATGTCGAAAGTGGTCCATGATTATGTATTATATGCAAGGTTGAAGTAGTGAGTTTTCATGCGAGATTTAAAAATGCTAATTGTTGGTGCTTGCCTCACTAGTAGTGGTAATGCATTCCACAGCTTGGGAGCACAGACAGAGAAAGCCCTTTCTCCACGGCTTTTCAGACGTGCGTTTGGAAGAGCTAGGAGGAGCTTATCCTCAGACCTGAGAGCACGAGGCGGATTGTAGTAATGGACGAGTTGACACAGATATGGAGGAGCTTGACTGTTCAGGGATTTATAAGTGAGCAGCATGATTTTGAAATTGATCCTGAGATGAACGGGCAACCAGTGGAGAGATTTTAGAATTGGTGTAATGTGCTGTCTTCTGTCAACTCCAGTCAGGAACCTAGCTGCTGAATTCTGGACTAGCTGAAGTCTAGATTGAGCTGCTTTACTGATGCCGTATAAGCAGGAGTTGGAGTAATCCAGCCGTGAAGTGATGAAAGTGTGGACTACTGATTTGAGAAGACGGACACTCAGGATGTGCTTAAGTTTAGAGATACGCCTGAGGTGGTAAAAACATGATTTAACTGTGTTATTGACCTGAGCATCCATCTTCAGAGCCTGGTCTATTTTAACTCCAAGGTTGGAAATTACAGTGGAGACATTAGGTGAGAGATAGTTGAGGTCAGGTTGAAGAGTAGCCGGGATGCTGTGAGGATTAAAAACGATTACTTCTGTTTTGGAGTCATTCAGATGGAGGAAGTTATCAGCAAGCCAAAGCTTAACATTATCGATACAATCAGACAGAACTTGCATTGATTGAGTTGGCTTGAATGAAAAGTAGATCTGACAGTCATCAGCGTAAAGATGGTATGAGACAGCGTGCCTTCTGAAAATGGCTCCTAAGGGCAGTATATAGAGGTTAAATAGTAACGGGCCGAGTATTGAACCTTGTGGGACACCCCAACGGAGTGGTTGTGACTCGGATGAACAGCCATCCAACATGACTCTAGCGGACCTGTTATAAAAGTATGACCTGAACCAATCTAGGGCTGAACCAGAAATGCCAGCCCAAGTCTGAAGTCTGGTGATCAAGATGTTATGATCGATCGTGTCAAATGCTGCTGATAGATCCAAAAGTAGCAGAACCACATGGAAACCTGAATCTAAAGCGAGAAAAATGTCATTAAACACCCGAACATGAGCAGTTTCAGTGCTGTGCTGTTTTCTGAAACCAGACTGAAAAATGTCCATTACCTGATTGTCATTTAGATGTGTCAGCATCTGTTCATACACTATTTTCTCAAGGACCTTAGATAAAAACGGTAATTTGGAAATTGGTCGGAGATTAGAGTAATCAGTGGGGTCGAGACCAGGTTTTTTCAAGATTGGCTGAAGAACGGCATGTTTAAAGGCAGAAGGAACTTCAGCCAATGTCAAGCTACTATTTAAGATGTCTAGCACATTATGGCTAATGAAAGGAAAAACCTCTTTCAGGAGACGTGGTGGGATAACATCTTCTGGGGAGCCAGACGGTTTCATGGCAGCAACAGTTTTTTCTAGATAGGGCAGAGAGATGGGCTGAAAGCTTTGAAGTTGCACATGAGGGGGAATGACTGAATCAGGAACATGGTTGGTTTGGTGAATCTGAGCTGTGATTACACTAATCTTATTTAAGAAAAACTGCAGGATTTGGTTACACAAGTCAGCAGACGCAGAGGAAAATAGTTTTGTAACTGGTGAAAGCACTGCATTCATAGTTTTATATAACACACCTTGATTATTAGAATTAGCCGTTACAATGCTTGCAAAAAATCGATTTCTTGCGCCTCTGACTGCTCTTTGGTACTGAGACCACGCCTCTCTCATGGATTCAAAGGATACAGTAAGCCTGTCTTTTATCCATTTACGTTCCAGTCTTCTGGCATGTTGTCTCATGGAACGAGTTTGCTCGTTCAGCCATGGGTCAGGTCGGGATGTATTTCGCCTTGATTTTAATGGAGCGACAATATCCAAAGCAGCCAGACAGGATGAATCAAGCGCATGAAGTAATCCCTCAACAACAGTAAATTCATCAGTAGATTGAAATGGAGCTGAATTCAAAGCAAGAATAGCAGCAAAATGTGCAGCAGTATTGGGTCTGATTGTTCGAGAGAAGCTGGGACGGAAACACTCAACACGAGAGGCAGAGTCTAAGTTCATATTAAACACAACTGGTGAGTGATCAGAAAAAGTTGCAGGTAGAATGCCAAGATCACTAATTTGCAGCCCATGACAAAAAATCAGGTCTAGTGTGTGTGTATGACCATGAGTGGGTCCATTAACACGTTGGGACATGCTAAATGAGTCAATAAGATCTAAGAAATCCTTTACCAAAGGTTTGTCAGGACAGCAGACATGAATATTAAAATCACCCAGCAAGAGTATTTTTCCATATCTGCAGGAGACGTCTGCCAGGAAGTTTGCAAATTCATTAAGAAAATCCTTGTTATAGGGTGGTGGACGGTAAATGAGTGCACATAACAATGGAGGGGAACGTCCCAATTCAAACAAACTTAATTCAAAAGACAATGGAGTTGATTGATGGGTAATCGGTGTGCAGACAAGATCTGATTTGAATATAGTCAATAGACCTCCGCCCCGGCGCTGTGCTCTTGGAATGTTAATGAAGGAGCATCCAGGAGGTAACATTTCAACAATAGCAGCTGAATCTCCAGGGGTTAACCATGATTCAGTGGCGCATAGAACAGACAAGCTATTGTTCAGGAAGAATTCCTTCAGAATAAAAGTTTTATTTCCAACCGATCTGGCATTGATCAGTGCAAAGCGAGTCGACTGCTTTCCCGATGGAAGAGAAAGTCCGGCTCCATCAAATCTTGCAATATACTGTAGGTTGGCCAGATTTATTCCCCGCTGATTGTGCCGTCCAAAACGAGAGCGGCGAAAACGAGAGCGGGAGGGCAACCCGGTGGAACCCAAAGAAACAACAGGCACCAAGCACCCACCTCGAGCATCAGGGGAACTCCGAAAGCACCGCTCCTTTCCCCATACGCAGTTCAATAGAACAAAATCTGATCACTATTCATTAGTTAACACTGTACAGTTTATTCAAAAAATTGATCCATGCAAACAAATCTGACCAAACTTGGATAGACACAGAAGAAACAATATACAGAAATATTGAAGTCTCAGATGTATCTACTTCTGGACCTCTTCCCCTGAAGAACAAAAAAATTAATGCAAGTCAGTGGGGCTAATCATTTCTAATGCCATTTTTTAACTTATGTGCCACTGATTTCACATAATGATGTCTGTGAATTTTAAAGACACAATCTGATGCCAAGAAGATAATTATTTTCAAAGAGGGGCAAAAGTTATTTTAGGTTTGTGTGAAAATATATCCAGGACTACAACTGCACAACATCAAACTGACATGATTAAACCAAACACGGACAAGAGCAGAGGAAAAATGGCTCAAGTTAAACAAACTTTGAATCCTTCATTCAGGAGGAAAGAACCAACAAAATGTCACGTGGTAAGTAGCAGCTAAGCTAGGGCAGACGAGATTCTGTGGTGATGTCAAATATGCAACAAGCTGACGTCTGATTTGTTGTCAGGAATTACGAATTTTTACAAGCTGATAATTTTTGCAAGCATTACTTTTAAATGACAAGATATGTGCAATTTAGGCTATACATAAGTAAAGTAAGTAAAAGTTTATTTATAGAGCGCCTTTCACAGATATAAATCACAAAGCGCTGTACACATGGACGTAATTTTCACTTTAGAAGTGGGGGGGACACGGAGTGGGGTGGGGTGTGTGTGTGTGAATCTTTACAGTATGCTCTAATGGGAAACAGGCTTCAACACAAACAATTGTTTTCCGCTTGGTCCTAGAGCTCAACCAGCTGGGACGTAATTTTGGGGGGGGACGGGTGGGACATGTCCCCCCCACTTTTTCAAAAGGCAGTTTTGGTCCCCTGCACTTTTTTCCGTCCAAAAACAATATTACGCTCCATTAAATGGATTTGGTTGAGCACTAGGACCGAAACGGAAACCGGTTTCCTACTAGACCCGCCCAAAAGCTAATCTATTGGCTCTGTTGATACTTGCTAACGTATTATTGGCTGTTGCTGCTGTCACTCAAGTTGTAAACAGTCAGAACGTGCTCACGTTGTTTTGCTAGTTTGGAGCCGCTAGGGAACACCGGTCCTGAGTCACATCGTCAACTAGACGCTGTGTAATATCAGAGCTCAGCTCAGCTTTCATTACATAACATTTGAATAAGTGTTCATTTGTGAGTCTTTGGTAGTTAGGCACAGCCAGGAGGCAGCATGTCAAGAAAATGAAAAGTGGATATAAGAGACTTCTTTCAAAGTCAAAACGTAAGTTGGACATGTGACACCCCTGCATTAAGCTCAGACTCACCTCCTCCTTCACAAACATACTCAAAACTAACTTTTACAAACTCATCTCCTCCACATAACTGACTCCTCAGACACAATTTATTCGTATTATTATAATTATTATTTATTTATTATTACTATTATCATCATAATTATTATTACTAGTAGTGGTAGTAGTAGAAGTGTAACTTCAAAACTTTTATCATTTAACTTTATTGTAAACTTTATTGCAATGTATATGTTCACATTAAAAAGCTCTGAAAAATGAACAGTATCATCATCGTCAACAGATTTCAACAGATTTTTTTAAGCTTAATGTCAAAGATGTACACTTTTCA